TTTTAGCCTTTTTCGAGCCCAATAATTTATAATTTTTATTGTTATTCGAATCTGAAAAAAAAATGCCGAACTTTAGGCGAAGACCCCAGTTCGCGAACTTTTCGGAGCAAAACTGACCAACTGACCAACTAGGAAAGGGAGTGTAAGGATAATTATTCATTTTCATTTTTCATACAGGGTGGGCCAAAAGTCAGTGGGCATACGTTGGCCTTAATAGCTCCACCTGAAATAAGATTGAAGTCACACAGAAAGGCATGTAAATTATGTATATTTATAGCTCCCAACGTAACACCTAGCAACTCCCTGTTTTGTTCTACAGTTGATATATCAACATGTCATATCAACGACAACACGGTCCTAATAAAAATGGATCGGGTAGGTATGAAATGCATGTCTTCATTCCAGTTGGACAAGCACCAAGCTATTAAGTTCTAAATCTCAATATTGAGACACTACTTATAACATAAGCCAGATTTGCAACTATTACAGCACCAAATATTATAGCAAGCATAGCAGACCAGGAAAAATTTTGTGTATAGTTTAATATACCGCGAAATCTTTTGGTCAAAATTACCGCGAAATCCTTTAGTCCCTGTAGCAGACGAACACATCCAAATTTGTTGCGCTTTACACTCAAAGTCAAGTCACAGCAAACGCAAGCTACACAAAATAAAAGGTTAACCGGATAAAGTTCTGTGAGGTGGAATGTGGAGTACAGAACTAAATAAAGAAATGGCGTACAGATTCTTAATAATAATGCTGCTATCGCGTTTACACTATCGTAAAAGAAACCAACATATCACATCACAAATCATGAGTCAAGGGTTCGATATTCTAAAAACAAGCTGTTTTATTATCCTAATCTTTGTCATTTTGGGCTGAATACTGGCAATGTTATTGTTACCTATACCGTATTGAAACTGATCAAAAGTCAAACCTCAATTATTCTACACACATCACGACGCTGTTTTAGTTCTTTTAAGAGTTTATCTGTATATTTACAGGTTTTTGGTTTGTAATTATTGAAGATGACTGTTGAGGATACTCTGGCTCTCGAGATTGCAGAGTAAAGTGATGACATAGAGGTACTATAAGTTGTCTCTTCGTGATTTTTCCCACCCTGACTTTCATCATAATATGTCCAGAAGGTACAATTAATACAGATAACAGCTGGCCACTCTGCTGACGCAGAGTTAGCTGTAGTATGCACTGTAATCTTGTCATCTGCAGCAGTATTCCACTTCCTCACTACATCGCAAATAATAGACTCAACTTGTCGTATTTGATCAATATTCACAGAGTGTAGAACTGCGATATCCTTGTTTTTGAGAAAACTGCCACATCCTTTTAAATTCTCCAGCTCTCTGAACAAAATATTAATCCAGGAAGTGGTTTTAAGGTCTTGCAGTACGTAAATGGTAGGCTTAGGTCCCCGAAGATAGTGTCCTCTCTCTTGTCCAGGCAAACTGTAGACTGATTCCCCAGTAAAATGTTTTTTTCTGATTAATGATAATACAGTAGATATTTCGTATGTGTTCCTGAGATTAACTGTTAATTCTGACTTTACAAAATAGCTTATAAATTCGTCCCTAAGAGCTATAAATGGATGATGATCGTCCATGAAATGCATATGATTAGCAGAAAAAGATTGTGCTTTATCAAAGAATATCCAAATGCTAGTTTGGTTGGTGTCTTTGTTCTTCACGATAGGAAGCAGTCCCTCAGATATAAAATTTGCATGTGCTAATGATATAGATTTACAATACTCCATCATGACAAGTTCATCGGGCGACTGATGATCGTCGACAAACACGTGATCAAACCTCGAAATCAAGCTGTCTATACTTTTAGCTAAACCAGTGCCAATATTCAGTAATACGATTTTATTGGTGTTATCAGATAGTTGCTGTGATAATAATGTGCGTGTTCTGTTCAATTTATCACCCTCATCGCGATGAATTACTTCAAAGCATGTCTCACAACCACATTTTGTCATCACACATGTTATATCCTGTCTGATATTGTTCAGTAAGAACATTGCATCACGTGGAGCTGGGTTGTTAGCATGGCCTGTAAACATCAGAAGTATCCTCACCTCTGGTGGTGTGGTCAGAGCAAGGTCGATTATCTTACTTAACATCACAACCGTCTTGCCTAATTAGATAGTGAAGATTAAATATTATTATTATTATATTGTCAGTAAATCATTTTTAATCGATAGGACATTTAAAACCATTTTCAATGAACCGCGTTATTGTTAATTTTCAAGGGGTTCCAACGTTTTGATGATTTCTATTACCCTCTTTGTAAAAAATATCTTAGGTTACAGATTAATTTTAAAAAGTAATAAAAAAGTACTTGCCTGATCCAGCAGGACCGTCCACCCAAAGGAATCTCTCATCACTACTGAATACATCCAGCTGGCATTGCGTCAGGCAATTTATTTTGAGATATTTTATGAAGAGATCCGGAGCTTGAACCATCCTGGGATTTTGAGGATAGTTCTTCTTCTTTTTTCCTTTTTTCTTTTTTAAGCCCTGGCTAAGTTCTGCTTCTTCAACCAATTTCCTTATTACAAGTGAACTCTTGAGTTTATTATCTACATCTTTTACACATTTGGAGAGGCTACATTCATCTAAATCCCATTTATTGTCTTGGTTCACGCACCACAATCCTAAAAGACTGCAACATAACATTTCTCTGGCAGTCTTCATACTCAACGTTGTGACAGGTGAGAATAAGAACGCTTCACAGCAGTAAATAATCAGTACCAAGTTTTCTAAATCCTCTCTGAACAGGATTGTCTCATCAGAGAGATATTGCTCTTCCACCTCTTCCATGGAAATATTCGGAAACATTGTAAACTCGAACACCGTCACTAAGGGGTTTATTGATCTGATGAGGTCCCTCATCCTTTTCCTTTGCATTACCGTGCTGTCACAACATCCATCTAACTTAATCATGTCTTCTCCTGTCTTTTGGAGTGAAAGCCCTTTAACTTCAATCACCGCCACGAATTTATCTCCTATAACGATAAAATCGCATTCTCCTTCATGTTCCCTTAATGTTTTGTGACAGAAATGATCCTCTGAGCCTTTCTTGCATTTTGTCTTGTTACAACGATGTTCTGGAATAAAAGCAGAATACTGTTCATGTGTATAATCTAGTTGATGGATAACTAGATTATTCGTATTGACCTCCTCCAAATAGCGATACACTTTAACCTCTGCTTCATACGCTTCAAGATGCTTCTTTTCTGCAAGGTTCGCCCCTTCCAACACTACACCTTCAGGGAGTTTATCGATGAATTTGTTGTTGGGAATCGGGGGCACAATCGTTGGTCCTGAATGTTTTGTTCTCTTTTGACAATATTTTTGAAAGATCTGCTTGCCAATTGTGTGTTCGATTTTCTTGCGAAGTCCTAATGCTGACTGTGAAGACATTATCTGATGAAGAATGAAATTTTGAAAAATATGTATATTCAAAATATGAGTTGTATAAAAGTAAAACGTCGCTCATATCAACAAAAAACTAAAAAGGTACTAAAAATATATAATACAGAATATTGGTAGTCAATAACTTCGCCGTGGCTATTGCAAGGAAAGACACATTACAAAAGAAGCTTTGAAAGAACGGATCAGAACGGATCAGATCGGCTCAGAACGGCTCATAATGGTTAGAGCAGCTCAGAGCACCTGTTGACAGACAATGGACACTTACACACGATTCAAACTGCAATAACAAACTGCAAAATTCAGAATAAAGCAGGCCGTAGTACGAAATTATTGCCTGGTCTTGTGAGTCCCGCAACACTAGTATCACTATCATGAGTTAGCCGCGATAACGAGTTTAACGGAAATTATTGATTCGTGTTCACAGTAGCTGTGTCTGACATTACACATATCGTATTACTAGAGTACTAGGGGGGGGGGGGGGGGGTCCTGGGGCGGATGTCCTGGGGGGTTTGACACGTCAGAACAATGAATATAATCCTGCTATTCCTAAGCACCCGGATTTGTGATTCTTAGCTATGATGAACTAATTGTGGCATGTCATACATCATTGCAAAGGGTATTTGAATAGCAGACGATAACAACAAAGATGAAAATATAACTACTCAAAATGCGTGCTAATGTGAATAAATAGTAGGTATTAAGAATTGATAAAGTGTATAGTTACTGGAAAGAGCTGAAACCTTGCAACAGGTGCTGTTGCACTACACAGTACACATCATTATGTCATATGTGGGGGTTATGATTTACATATTTAGTTTTAATCTATGTTGTAATATGGTATTTAGAGATATCTTTTAGGATATCTTAGTTTTAGAATAACGTTTAAGGGACGTATAATTTAGTATGTATTTCCGGGTATATAATAACCAATGTTTTTATATGTTCGTATTTGGGAGTTACACATTTTGAGTGTAAGTCGGTTGGCTGGCAGAACTACTGTCAGACTAACTGTCTGAAACGAGCCGTCCGCTCACTTTGCACCTGACTTACAGCCAGGCCTGTGGTTGGTCCTCGCGACCACAGCGTGACTGCTAGTGGAGTGCTCATTGGCGAGACGGCGTGTCACGTGGTGCAAGCAAATGCGTTGTGCCGTCACGCAGTGTGGCGTGACGAAGTTTTGAGAGTATACCCGGAGAGCCGGATGTGAAGAGCTCACTTCTTAGTTGCCCCTTAATCATTTTAAGGGATCCGATTGTCAATAGCCAGTTTAACTGAGTACTATTCTCTGTGACTAGACACGTAGTGTGATCTATATTCACGGCAATCGTTTGGAGCGTACACTTGGAAGTTTTATCTGTTGACGTTCACTTTGTATTACTTTTCCATTTTATTAATTATCCTTTTTAATATACTCGTTTCATTTCTACCTTTCGGTACGCCCTGCCGTTCGTGCTTCGTGACTAGAGCTTGACTAGCATACACTAAATACACTAAGAAACGCAGTTTTCTATATCTGGAGGCCACTTTTAGTGTTGCTATTTTGCTCGTGATCCTTCTATTATCACCTATATTCAGTATAGTTTCGATTAGATCCTAACGTTGTCATTTGCTAAGCTAAGTTCGGGGTTACGTCGCAGTTCAGAAGAATTACGTGGAGGTTGACTTAGATCTTCAGTACTTCCTACTAGAATTGGTAAGTGTTGCTACGCATTTTGTGGTACCTGTATATTCCAGTTCTATCGTTTTAACGAGCACCCAGTTTACAGCCGTTTGTAGATTCAGTACAGTATTACCTAGGTTGTTAGTGAGTTTTGCGTAAGTTTAGCAACCTTACTTTTCGTACTTATCTACTCAGGAGTGATAGACGTAGAAGTTACAGTTCCAGTAAAGAATCTAGTAAAGTCTTGACTAGAAGATTTTCCAGCAACGTGAAGAGTACGCCTGTTCCAGTACTTATCTACTCTATTTGTAAGTGCACTTTTACATTTAGATTCACGTTTTAGCATGTGTGATAGTTATGCAGCTGAAATGGAGTGGGCGACGTCAATTATCGAGTCAAACATAAATAAGACTATGGAGGAGATAGATGGTTTAGGTACAGATAGCCATGACATTTCCGATTTAGAGAAGGAGTTGAATTCAGCTTTAGAATGCCTGCAGAATAAGATTGATAATGTACGGCCAGAACCACTTAGCACAGTTACTAAGTTTAGAAACGTGAACATCGGGGATGATTTTGACAACAGTATGATAACCCCATTGAATAGTTCAGTCGCTGGTCCACATTTGACGGGTGCCAAGCCTCCCAAGCCTCCTTACTTTGAAACTGGATCTAATTTCATCATATTTGCCAGGCGGTTCAAGGAGCATTTGATTCTGTGTGGACATAGCGGTGGTTCTGATATTAGCACGTATATGTTGTCGTACATTCGTTGTGAATCCACCTGGGAAATACTGCAGAAAATCTCTCTTAGGCCGGATGAGAGATGTAATATTGATCTTCTTATTAAGCGATACTCAGAGGAGATATTTCCAGCTACTCAATCTTGGGCCTATAGAACTGAGCTCATGTCATTGCGTCAGTTAGCAAATGAGAACCTACAGCAGTTTATTTCACGTATAGATGAGCTTGCTTTTAAAGCCGGATACGACTGCGAGTCGAAGAGGGACGAGAGTTGCTTGCATGTTCTTGTTGTAGGAGCTCGTGACGTAGCTGTAAGGACTAAGCTTTATGAGTCCCAGTTACATTCCTATAGAGAGGCAGTAAAACTAGCAATTCACACTGAGCGTATCACGTTAGCTGTGAGTGGTGAACCAGGGGGTTTCACTCAGGTCCAGGATACCATTTTCGCCATTAGTAATCCTGAATTAGATGGCCAGAGAGCTAGGGTTACAGCACCTGGACAAACACGTGACCACTTTATGACGGGCACTAGACAGGAGAGTTACAGTCCTGAATGTCCTCCTTCCCATTCGGAAGTTAACCAGCGCACAGGCCGATCATGGACTCCTAATCTGGTTAGCAATAGTTTTAGGGGTGGTATGAGAAATGATGATCGTAGAAACACGTCTGTTCGGTCACGTTATCAGCCAACTCGCAAAGTGGTTAATTCTAATAATCGGGGATCACGTAACGTTCGCTCTCAGTTAGAAGGTTGTTGGGAGTGTGGTAATAGAGGGCATTTTCAGAGAAACTGTCCGAGCAAATTTGCTGGTAATAGAAGTAGATATCAAGACAGAGGGTCTTTATATCAGAGTGGTTATGGCCAACAGATTGGGAACAGAGCGTATAGACCTAACAACCAGGCGCCTTTAAACTTCTATGAGGATTGTAACGAGATTGGTGGCAGTAAGGGAAACTGCATTTTGGTTGGAGGAAATTGTGCTGGTAGATCAGCAAATTTCTTTGTGGATACGGGATCATCTATTTCTATAATTGCTGAATCATTTGTCAGATTTATAGATAAGTTTGAGAAGGTTGTGTCGTGTAATCTCAAGCTCAAGTCCTTTTCGGGAAATAGCATAAAGACTTTCGGTCAGATTAAGCTTCCAGTGATAATTGCCGGAAAATCTTTTGAGCACACCTTTGTTGTTTCTGAATTTCATGAGGCAGAGGTTCTGATAGGCATGGATTTGATGTTTGATCAGGGGATTAATATTAATGCCAGAGATAGATTGCTGTATACTAATAAGGGTTCATCATGTTTTAGAACACCACCTAAACCCACTAAACGCTGCATGAAGGTAGTATGCAATGAAACAGTAATCATACCACCTCTCTCGGGCACTCATATACAAGGCAAATTGTTGCGACCTAAAAGTCAACGTGATGACGTTTATGGCCAGCTAGAACCTCATATTAACACGGTTGTAGGTACTGGCATATTCACAGCGCACTCTCTCATACGGTCTGAGGACAACATGGTCCCTGTTAGAGTCATGAATCCTACAGATAAGCCTGTGAAGATAAGTAAGAGAACCTGGCTGGGCAAGATGAAGCCAGTAGAGTTTGGTGAGCGAGTGATGAGAATAACCTGTGAAACGGTTAATGCGATATCATCTGATTGTTCAGTGCCAGAGGTGAGCAAGCTAGCTGATGAGGAGCCGCTAGTTAAGGAATGGGATAGAGAGAGTCTTTTCAAACAGTTGAAGTTAGACGAGTTGAAGATAAGCGAGGAAGACAAGAATGATCTTCGAGAGACTGTGTGGGAGTATAGAACCATTTTCTCGAGTGGAGAGCTTGATTTAGGTTGTTGTAATTTCTTTGAGGCACATCTCCAGCTCAAGGATAACTATAAACCTAGGTGGGTTCCATCGAGAAGGATTCCGTTTAAGCAGCAGCCGGAAATGGATAGACAGATTAGAGGTTTGCTTAGATCTGGTGTGGTTGAGGAATGCCCTGACCACTCTAATTTTAATTCTCCCCTTTTCCTGGTGCCATCAGGAGATCGCTCTAGATTAGTTGCGGATCTGAGAATGGTAAATTTAGAGCTTCAGGATGATTTGATGGAGCTGCCTAACTTGAACCACATTTTAGACAAAGTGGGCGATAAGAATCTGTATTCGACAGTGGATTTGAGTAAATCTTTTCACCAGGTTCCGTATACCAAGGAATCCAGGCATGTCACGGCGTTCATGCACAATCAGAAGAGGTATCAGTTTGCTAGAATGGTCATGGGCCTGAAATCTAGTTCAGCTACGTTTACTAGAATGGTCATGCGGTTGATAAACGGTCTGGGTATATCAGATGCGTTAGCATTCTTCATAGATGATTTACTGATATTCACGCGTGATGTAAAATCTCACATTCAGATACTGTCAGTACTCTTTGCTCGTCTTAAGTTGGGTAATCTGAAACTAACACCTCGTAAGTGCAGATTTTTACGTGAGGAGGTTGAATATGTCGGTATTACTCTAACTAAGGAAGGAGTCAGGATGAACGACTCTCGCATAGAGCATATTAAGAAGTTAGAACCTCCCTGTAATAGAGCGGAATTGCAGTCAGTTTTGGGCATGTTAAACTATTCCAAGAAGTTCTGCAAGGGATACTCCGAGATAGCACGTCCCCTTTATGCTTTACTTCGGAAAAATAAGGTGTTTGAGTGGACTGAAGATTGCCAGAGTGCATTTCAGAGGTTACGTGACATGTTGATATCAAGTCCTGTCCTAGCTTTTCCGGAGGTTAGCGACCCGGAAAATAGTTATGAGGTGACTCTAGATGGTTCTAAACACGCATTTGGTGGCACTTTGACTCAGTGGATCAAAGGAAAGAGGAGGGTGATTGCATACTTTTCTCGTAAGGTTCCGGACCACAAGCGGATATGGCCGCAAACTCAGATTGAATTTGAGACTTTATATCAGACTCTGAAACATTTCTCGGTTTACTTACGTGGCGTTAAAAACTTCACTGTTATCACAGATTGTCTGCCACTCTTGAATATTACGACAATATTTTCAAAGATGTCATCTTCTGTTATCAGGAAGCTTCAGGAGCTTGCTAACTATACTTTTACTATGAAGCATATCTCGGGGAAGAGTAACCAGATGTGTGATGGACTTAGTCGTTATAAGTATCAGGTTTATGGTAAATCTCGAGAAAATGTTGCGAGCATTGGTCATAGTTCCACTTTTAGTCTTGATGCTGCGTTAGAGGGAGTAAACCGGGTGAGACGTGAGCATTATAGATGTAAACACCCGATACTGTTTAAGAGGATGCAAGTATCGGTTAGCAGCGAGACTGTGGTTGATGATGATTGCAGTAATCTGATTGAGGAATCTTGCAATGAGGTGAGTGTTGAGGACAGTATGATTCCGGGGTTCTTGTTTGATGAAAATAGTGAAGACCCTAGTATTGTAAGCATTGTTCAAATTACGCCTGAAGTTGATAGCCGTCATTGCAATTGTAATCTTACCCAGGCTGATCCTATTCCTACAGAGGAAGCATCAGTAGTGGAAGCAGTGGAAAATGTTTCAGCGGTTACTAGTGATGTAAGCTCACTAGAGAGAAGGGTCAAATTTCTTAATCCTACCAATGAGCAGATTAAACAAGCTCAGAAGGATGATGATATTTTAAACCAGGTCTACAGTTGGGTTACCAAGGGTGAGAAACCTGTTGCCATTCAGACTAGTAAACTGCCTCAGGAACTGTTGAGTTATTGGAAACAGTTTGATCTTATAAGTATCAAGGACGGGATACTTAGGAGACGTTGGACTGAAGTGAGGGATCCGGAGGGAAGTAGAGAGTTGATCATAGTCCCCGAATCCTTGCATGAATCTGTCCTGGACATGGTGCATAACCAGGAGACTGCACATGCTGGAGTAGAAAATTGTCTTGAGGTCTGTAAACGACATTTCTACTGGCCGAAAATGGGCGAATGTTTCAAATTATGGATCGCAGCATGTTGCAGGTGTGCAGCAAGTAAGCCACCTCAGGCATACAATAAGGCACCTCTCAAGCACATATTGTTCCACTCCTTTAACTCAGCAATTTGTTTCGATCATATAGTTCCTGAGAAGGTTGGTGCTACACCTAGAGGTTACAAGTATATTTTGACTATAACCGATTGTTGGTCAAATTATGTGGTAGCTATTCCTACTAAGACCCAGACAGCTAAGGAGAGCGTGTCATTGATTCGTAGGTTTTGGATTGATCGTTTTGGCCAGCCTAGATTCATGATGGCTGATAATCATCCGGGTTTTAGAGCTAAGTATTTCGAGACCATAGCTCAAGCACTAGATTGCAAGTACATTCATGGCCAACCGTACGTTTCTCGTAGTACTGGAAGAGTTGAGAGAGCAAACCGTCGGTTGAATACTGCACTGAGAACCAGCTTACCACCAGGACGATACCAGGACTGGGATCTTTGGTTATCTAGAGTAGTCTTTGTACTTAACTCATTGCGGAATCGGCACACAGGTTATTCTAGCAACAGATTGGTGTTTGGTCGTGAGTTAAACACACCTTTAAGCCTGCTAGCTGAGAATCGCAAGGATTTCGAGCTAGAGCCTATGAAGGAGAATGAGTTTGATGTTGAAGCGTACGAGCTGTACAAGAATCTCAAGTTTATCACCAGGAAGGTGAGGGTCCAAGCTGAGCGTGATTTTTGCTATGCACAGAGATATCACGATAAGCACGTTAAGGGACCATTCTTTGAGGAAGGTGAGGAAGCTTTTGTTTTGATAAATTGTCCAAAGCACAAGTTCGGTCCTCGTTGGGTTGGCCCGTATAAGATCTCTAAGAAGATAAATGATCACTTGTACTGTTTAGATTTGCCTGATGGAGAGAAGAAGGTGTTTAACATTGGAAAGTTAAAGAGATATGTCAGGAACAAGTTTTCTGAGAAACTAGAGACTAGCTTTACATTGCCTAAAGTTGTTAGCAGTGAAGCTGAGTTAAAGACGGACTCATCAAGGCGAGATGTAGTCTATTCCGATAGTGATAGTGAAGAGGAGACAGATTTTCAACTGAGAAGAGCACCAGTTGTAGCAAGGAGAAGAGAGATTCATCCGAAGAAGTTTCGTATGGAGGAGGATGGTGCAGATAGCATTTATAAACAACCTAGTTTTAGTTCAACTCCTAGGGCTGTTAATAGACCTGCTCAACTAGATCTGAATTCTACAAATCCTAGTTTTCGTACGGTAACACCTCTCACACATAACATTCCCTCAGGCGATAGTGTAGAAACAGTTGATAATTCTGCAGAATTCTTCACTCCAGCTAGAGAGAGATCGGCCGCTAGAAGATCATCGAGTCCGGTTGTTGGTGAAGGAACGATGGGTCATAGCAGTTCTATGTCATATGATACAGTGGGGCACGACATTGACACAACAGGATCGCTTTCTCCTGTGGATCTAAGAAGACAGAGCCCTCCGAGGGAGGAGCGCAGATATAACACTAGGAGACCTGAGGAACGGAGACAACCTGATCGTCTAGGATACAACGTTAGACTAGTTACGGATCTTATAAAACTCTTCAACCAGTAGAAGACGAGGAGATGCCCGGATAGGGAAGTACACTTACTTTGGAATCTAGTTTCAGTACAGTATAGTCTTACTCACATAGCTAGCTTTCCACTTAGTACTTAGCAGTGGTATTGTACCTTACTTAGGCATAACACGTGTTATCTTTCAGAACATTACTGATAGGGATAATAGGATCATTACTCTCAACACGACTCGCTCAGGGCTGCTTTAGTGGCGGAAACGTAGAAACTTTCGAATTTATTTTGACTTCTTTGTTTGCTTGTCAAGGACGTTTAGAGATTCCGATACATCTCTATCTAATGATGAAGACTCAACACCAAAGACTCTACAACTTGGTGCAAAAGGGAAGTATTTGAAAGTTTTAGAAGATTTGTGGAAGTCAAGTTCAGTTTTAACTTTAGAATTTTGAGGATTTAAATTTAATGCACAGGGTTAGGGCCGTGTATTTTATTTTGAGACTTGACTTATTTTTAAGTTTTGGACTTTTGATGCGTGGAAGCATTGAAATTTAAATTTTGAAAAGGGCGATTATTTTATTGTTTTAAAATATTCGAAAAAAATTTTTGGGTAGAGATGTTGTAATATGGTATTTAGAGATATCTTTTAGGATATCTTAGTTTTAGTATAACGTTTACGGGACGTATAATTTAGTATGTGTTTCCGGGTATATAATAACCAATGTTTTTATATGTTCGTATTTGGGAGTTACACATTTTGAGTGTAAGTCGGTTGGCTGGCAGAACTACTGTCAGACTAACTGTCTGAAACGAGCCGTCCGCTCACTTTGCACCTGACTTACAGCCAGGCCTGTGGTTGGTCCTCGCGACCACAGCGTGACTGCTAGTGGAGTGCTCATTGGCGAGACGGCGTGTCACGTGGTGCAAGCAAATGCGTTGTGCCGTCACGCAGTGTGGCGTGACGAAGTTTTGAGAGTATACCCGGAGAGCCGGATGTGAAGAGCTCACTTCTTAGTTGCCCCTTAATCATTTTAAGGGATCCGATTGTCAATAGCCAGTTTAACTGAGTACTATTCTCTGTGACTAGACACGTAGTGTGATCTATATTCACGGCAATCGTTTGGAGCGAACACTTGGAAGTTTTATCTGTTGACGTTCACTTTGTATTACTTTTCCATTTTATTAATTATCCTTTTTAATATACTCGTTTCATTTCTACCTTTCGGTACGCCCTGCCGTTCGTGCTTCGTGACTAGAGCTTGACTAGCATACACTAAATACACTAAGAAACGCAGTTTTCTATATCTATGTATTTATGGGATGTACCTAGTATTCCCCTCTATAAAGTAAAGTTTGACACAGGAATATAACCTCATCCTGTATAGTAAGATACTAAATAGTATAGTAACTATCTATAAAACTTTACCGCGAAACCCGGAAAAAGCCGCCCAATCTGAAATTACCTTTTTTCACTACCAGTACCTGGTTACTGATAAGGATAAAATTTCCATCAATCACTACTAAACTGGAATAAAGTAATTAAATGAGACCAAATGAGGCCCAAATAAAAATTTTATATTCAGTAACTGTAATATCTCTGTAATTTAGCTTGTAATAAGAGTGGCACAATGAAGTTTTGATATTTAGTTATTTGTTGTAGGGAAAGATTAGACTTGGGCGTTGTTTTTTAATCATCCCTTGTTTAGAACTTTTACTTATTTAATAATATTCAATAACTAACCAGTTTGAAAGTAGGAGATTTCCCCGGCTGGATATCGCCCACCTCGTACATAAAGTCGTGTCTGTTCAGAGCCAGAGTTATCTTATCACTGTGGGAGTCTGGCAAGGAACTGTAGATGTCTAGCAGTCCTAGGATGGTTTAATACTTTAACAATCTGGAGGTGAAGGACAGAAGAATAGTTGTTGTCACGTGACAGCAATTAACCAATCAGCCTTAACTATTGACTAATCAAACCTTGTACTCTTGTAGAATCGCTGTCAAATGTCAAGTAATATGCCTCACCTTCACACCAGAATCTACATCTATATTCTAGACATAAATAAACCTTGAAGTGACCACTCCACTATAACAGTAAAAATATATTTCATATTTGTAGCGAACAGCGAGAATACGAATTAACAATTTACTCAAATGGAGGATAAAAATGATTCCACCAAAATATGTAGCCTAACAATCAAGAAAAGCACCTTTAACGAACGAATCGTATTCAGCGACGGGAGTCAGATAGAACATCATAGTGTCAAAATCTCTAGAGAGCCTATCCAGGACAATGTTGAAATGTGGCTGGATATCTTCCAGGGCAGTGTACTCTTCTATTTTCAGTGGAGTGGGGACAGCTGTTATTGCTATAGGAAAAGGTTTCCCCTGAAATTTGGGAGTATAAGTTAGAAATTCAAGTTGTTTTGTGGAACTTATGATAACAATAGTAATTTTCAGCATGATCGGTAATCGTAATCAAAATATTAAAAATCGTTGTCCTCTAAATCTATTTGAAATTTGAAATTTTGAGAAAAAAAACTGTTGATTTACAAAAACTGCGAATAAAAACTTACGTTTAGATCTAGATGTTGAAGTCCTCTAGACTGAAGCTGTAGTTCTATACTCGGTACAAGACCCTGACTCTGATCTGACAAGATATTTTGGAGGATATTTTCCGTTTCTGATGAATCTCCTGACATACCTGCAGGGAGGTCTTCATGACCATGAATCGGAATCGTTTCTTTAATTTTTACAAAGCATACGGTACCGGGTGAAAGGTAGGCGGTAGCTGGTATATAGTACTTAGCGGGCTGATTGCACATTATATTTCAAATCTACGTTTGTAAATTGGAGATAAAAATTTGTCGAATTTAATTTTTAAAATTACACACCAGCCCAGTTAAGTTTGCGATCCCAAATTAACTTGTTAAATATTTAAAAATGGAAGCGTCGAATTTCAAGTGGAGCCGCGGCTAGACATAATTCAGCTAATCATATTCAATTTTCAAACAAAAAATGAATTACTAAGTGCACACATGTAGGTGGCTCAAAATTTCTATTTCCGCACAATTTTTTGGCGGCCTTCCAAAATAAGTTTTCGACTATACAAACGGAAAACAAATCTATTTGCAACTATAAAAAATAAAGGTTTTAACAACGAATGTAATATAATCTAGTTCACATGTATTAACAACGGGTGTTTCATATACACTCCCATTAGATCATCCACCCTCTTAATAAAATCATAACTTCATAACTATTCCTCAACATAATATATGACTCATATATCCATTGATCGTATATAATATATATATTTATGATATATATGCAAGGTTCACAATAACTTTCGGTTTCATATCTCGTTCATTTTAATAATTTTGCAGATTCATTTTTCTCTCCGAAATTCGAAATGAATTTTCAAAAAATTTATTTAAGGGCAGCTGAGGGCTTTATGATTTTCATGTGGCTGAAAATCATATCAAAATGCTATTTGCTAGAGCTTAAAAAATCTTATACTTCAGCGAAAACTATACTACTAGAGGATTCCAAATTTAGTTGATAGATTGTCCTTTTGAAAAGAACGGCAAGCGCGCAAGTTACATTAACCTTAGATCCGTCTGAAAGGCGCTTTCCCGGTATCTTGATAAGATTTACACTTTACCCCTCATTCCATGGCACAGCTATCAGGCAATTTTACAAAAAGTTAAATCGAATGCTGATTTTTTGAATCTTACTATATATAAAGCGAGACGATTTATAATATGTATATATTAGGAGAGTTAGAATTAACCCAAATATCAGGGACACGAATGACTACTCCAGGATTTAAGAAACTAAACTTTCAACACTGAAAACATTCAGATTCTTGCCAAATATATTTCGATTGTAGTCATCTCCAGTGACATTGAACCTAAAAAATGTTAAAAGGTTAGTGAAACTCAAACCGTTACAAAATTAAGAATCCGAAAAAGGTAAAAAGATCATATTAAGGTTTATGGAATATAGGTAATCCAAAGGGATTGACAGTATTAAGGCCAAAAGGTCTAAGAGAATTAAGCAAATGTATGTAGTTATTTTCTTTTATTTCAAGTGTACTGGGACTGCAATTCTCTAAAATAAAAGTTCTAAAAGTTTCATTAAAATCTGTATGTACTCCTAAACCGTGGTCAATCAAGTGAACTCCTAGGCTATACTCATCACTAGTAATATCAAATGCTCTACCATCAACGATTTCATAAAATTTGGACCTGTGTCCGTCCATCCTTTTATGCAAGCTATTAATAGTCCTACCCACATAGTTTTTCTTGCAAATCGAACACTGTACATACTGTATATATTATGTGTTTATACTTTATCCGTATCATTTTACTGACACAACGGCATCAACTTTAACGCGACTTTCCGCAAAATCGTAAAAGATATACAACTGAATTAAATTGACTGGGTCAAATACTTTAATGGCCTCCAAATTAGTATGAAAAAATAAAAAATTAGAATTGAGCTAACCATGCTGCTGGTGATTAACTCTCATGTGTAGCAATGCATTACGGTTCTGTTTTACACAGATGTTATATCCAACAGTCAAAGTTCTTCTTTAAAAAAAACATGTTTGTAAATAATTTAGGGATCCTTCTTATTACATACTGATCCCAGTAACTAGACAGATTAAACCATGTTCAGTGAATGAGAAAGGCATGTGTCTTGTCAAGACACCCACACCCACATTTTCAATTCTAGACTATACTTAGGGAATAACTGATAGCTGTCCTGTTAAGGAAACTACTGAAGATATCAAAGTAAAATAGTTTCTACAACATAAAAAGGCAATTTCAGAAAATAACATCAAGAACTTAGGGTCGAGACTACACCACGTAGAATATAATTAGGCAATTATTAAGGCAAAAGCCAAAACTGCGTTGGCTAATCTTACAAGTTCTAGTGTTTCGTTGAAAAGAACCGTGCAAATAATTTGTGATTATGGTGCTGGCCAAAATTTTATTTGTAACGAGGCTGATTGGCTGAAGCCATTTAAAAAATTTTCAATTTAAGAATTAAGTAAGAACAAGGAAAGATTTATTCTAGGCTCTATTAGGCTCTATTATGCTCTATTAGGCTCTATTATAGGATGTCTCCTAAGGTTTATATTATAATTTGGCCCAGAATATCTTTATCTGATGTTTTTATCTAATCTGAAGCTGAAATTTATCTTAATTTTTTAAAAGTCTTGGCAAAAACTACCTCTGAAATAAATGAATGAAACCACCTTTACCTAATATCCAATTATGTAAAAATTAGATTCATCCCTCAGAAGGTTAATTAAATTTTATCCAGCGTTTTATTTTCCAATGTTCTAGATGCGAGAAAGGAAGGAGGGTAAGTGATCTTTCGGTACCATTTATGCATATTTATGCACATTTTACCGATATAAACCGGCCTTGGATTTCAGGTTCATTGCAGCTGGGGTTAAATCCTCCACAAAAGTTCTTTCTAAGATCCTGAGTGGGTACTATTTTTAAAATAAAATACCGAGATAATTTTAATCTTAAGTTCTTAGACGCTTCTGGTTATTGGATTGTCAGTAGTAAAAACAGAGTGACACCTAACCTAGATTATTTTAATTAATATAATAGTCAGGCATCCAGTGTATTTGTTTGATTTTAAAAAACTTTACACTACCCTTCCTCAGAGATTGGCATAATTTCACAGTTGTTGACTTTCTGTAGATTGTAATGTGCAACCAGTACGTGCAGATTTTACAGTTTTATAGTCGCGCGTGTGATTATCCCACTCGCAGTTATGGTTTATAAAACTTTAATCATTTAATGTCGAAATTTTGTTCGATTCTGTTTGTGTTACCGCTGGCGAGAGCTGTTTCTTTGGTGGCGTCGGAATAGTTTTATTTACGATAATTACTCTTTCATATTAGTTAATTGTTAAGCTTTGATCAAGCAGTAGACTATTTTGTATTTTATATTTTATTACACATTAACATGAGTCTAGTTATACATATATATACTTTATCATATTTTATTGATCTGAATCAGGCTTGTCCGCCGCCGCCGAACGCCGCCGCCGCCGGGTGATTTTGCCACGCCGAACGCCGCCGATACACCCCGGCGTACATCGGCGTACGGCGTGCATTTTCTGACTTCAAAATAATTCTGTCTTCATTTGAAGATATCAGTGTTACTTATAGCGATTAGCGGCTAGGGGCAACACACACATGATACACACCTTTAGCTAACAGTAACTACCTACTCATAAGTTTGACTGAAGAAGAAATTTTACAGATTTTTTAAAGATTTTGGGCCGATAGGCAAAAAACTTTCCCAATACTCTCAAACATAGTAAGTATAAGTGCATTGTATACCTGCCAGTAGTGCGAAAATTGAAAGAACCTGGTCGGCTGCAGGTTTAATTCTTTCTAGTCAGCGATCTAGGACGAATGTTAAAAATTTCAAATATACACTGTTTTGTTCTAAAAACTATGATTTTGTTTCCAACAAAAAAGATTGAGAGATCTATTGATTTCAGCAATAATTTATTGTTTATGTATTTTACCTTAAATAAAATAATTGTATCAATTTGTCTCAACTTTTATTTGATAGCAGATAATAACATAACAATATACCAACATCATTTGTTGAAGTTAAGTCTAAATTACCCAAATTAAGTACCTGATCATATTCATATTTCATAGACCTCAATTTAGTTGGCCTTGATTTCACGGCTCACGCCGGCGTACGCCGCCGCCGCCGGTGTAATTTTAGTGAAACGCCGCCGCCGATCCATTTAGCCACGGCGGACAAGCCTGATCTGAATGCTAGAGTGAGTGAGGAAGGATACTGATGAAGGGGGGAGTAAAAAGAATTTCAAATTTGTTCCTGTGCCAGCGGCACAGCAGGTACACTGGTACACATTGTGCCGGCCATTTCAATGTATGACACGATTCAATAACTTGATAACAGTTCATATAAGGACATATTTGTAGACTTCAAAAAATGCTAATTATTTCATCGTGCCTTCAATGGAGTTGATGTCACGAATTGCCATTATCTCAAATAAGCACGGAAATTTTATGCGAAAATTTGTTTCCTGCAGTAATATAATTATGTGGATTAATTATTTTGCAGAACAAAGCACAGATCTTTAGGATTGGTCCCATTATCAGGATATGACAATTTTACAATTACAGTACCACTGTAAAATTTAAATCATTTAAATATTTTACAGTCTCGTTTCTCAACGTTTTTTTTTGATAATCTTCCAGCTGTCCAAGAAAGCAGTAACATCGCTTCCACTAAATCGTTTGCCCAATATTTTTGTGAAAAGACCCTAAGGGTATGAACGTAATCTAAAATGCCTTTCTGGAGAGTTATGGAAAAAAAAACTATTTTGGTCACGTGACAGGCTGGTATAAAAACACGAATTCTATTGTTTAGATAGGGCTCGGGTTAGGGTTGTGGTTAGAATTATGGATAGCTTCGGGGTTTTGGTTAGGATTAGTGATTATGTAAAACCGTTTTGTTCGGCTGCAAAACCGTAATAACCCAAAACACGTTGTTATATACTCGTTTTAGCAGTTTTAGCACTATTCATTGATTTCAGAGAGTTCATTTTAACATCTGTTTTTATTATCAGAAGGTTTATTTTAACACCTCTGTTTTGGTTACAAGGAGGATAGTTTGGGAAATGTTTAGAGATTGCTAAAACGAGTGGGAGATTGTTTATACTATCTGGGGATACTTAAGAGTGGGCCTGTTGGATGAAAGGTTACCCTTTTTGGTTTTAGTACAGTAGTTTAGTAATCGCAATTCTGAACTTATTTGGATATTATATTGTGGAACATTGAGACATTGTAATTGCAATTCTTGATCACGTATACGAATTAAAGTACATTCACTTATCACCTTTCTGAACCAAATTGTAAGGAAAAGACTGTTTTATCAACGTGATAATTTTTGGGCGATAGAATTAGTAAGAGCCCAATAACATAGTAACATAATCATACAATCACACCCAATCACACCCAATCACACCCAATCACACCCAATCACACCCAATCACACCCAATCACACCCAATGACAGAAGAGATGGAGAGTCGATTTTTTGAATCGTAAAATAATTGAGATATTAGTAGTTTGAATTCTGTCCATTAAGTCACCAAATTCAGCTTTGAAACCCGTTTTTTTACTTATAACCCCTCCTTTCGCAACAAAAATAGATTACCGCTTTGGTCAGATGAATATCTTGTAACCGGCCAGTTATACACACCCCAATGAAACAGTAGGAAAATGATCACGTGGTCCGGCACTTTGCTGACACAAGTAGACAATCATTTTTTTTTTTTATTTTTTTTTTAGAGAGGCTGGGCATAGAAAGCCCACTAGAGGATAGCATTAAGATGCTTTGCCTACCTCTGGGATGAGGGGGGTTTGTCGGGGACAACACTGTGAGTTGTGGAGGACGGTGGTGGTAATGATCTAAATGGGAATACCGCGCTTTGGTACCAGTAGACAATCATAGACACAGGCTATTTTTTATTCTCATTAAATACTTTGTTATCGCATAACAGTTTAATTGATTGGTGTGTGTTAATTATCAATATTGTTTATACAAAACTGTTTGTTGTTTAAGCTGATCGTTTACGAGCTTATTGTTCCGTTGTTTTGATTTATTGTGAGATTTGTTTTAGTTTCGTGTGTTGAGGAACTATGTCAGGTACGCATGAAATTTGGTAATATATGTAATTTAAAGATAAATTTCTTCATAGCCCATAATTGGTTAAGCACTTACACAGTAATTAATCTTGTGAAGAAGTAAATTATAGTATTAGTAATATAAGTTTCATATCGCTAAAAGTATTTTCCAAGGACAGGGACTATGAAACTCCCCACCATCAAGTCTTCAGAGGATCCAAAAGAGGTAGCAGCCTTCATTTTAGACCGGGAAAGAATACCAGCCCAAGACAAATCAGTTGAAAGTATTGTCGAGGAAGTGGTGACGATCTCCAACTCACTTCGCTATAGGTGGGAACATTTCTGCTCTTATCAAAACTGGCTAGAAGACGGAAAAAATGGAACGGAACCTGTGTTTTGGGATGAAGACCGAGCAGTTTTCAGGTCATCTAAATACGCCTTGGCTCCTTGCCAACTAATAAACACTAGTCTCAACAGATCGGTAGGACTTGTTGAATTATTTTACTCACCGCAGAAGATGAAGGGTGTCATGGCAGCATTACTTTCAAAAGGGGATGAGCATGCTACTTTGCGGAGTGTCGCTATTTACGCAGAAGAGGCGATGGAACAAGAAGCACTGAAAATAGCACTGAGAATAGCTGACGAGCACCAGGATCTACATCGTAGTATGGTGCTGAGCACTGCAGAAAAAAAGAAAGGAGATGGTCCTGTTACTCGCACTGAGTTATTGGAGTCGCTGGTGGTTTTCCTTCCCCGCTCTCTAAAACTGAAACACCCTGAACGGTACCCTGAGCTGCCTTTTCCCTACTTTATAAACTACAGAGAGTTGGTTAAAGGTGAGCTCCAGTTACTCTCCACGCCAGCTATCCAACAGAACCCGGCTAATATAAACAGCTTCCACTCCTTTTCTGACATCATGAATTGTAACCCAATCTTAAAAGCAGCACACCAGCTTTGCTCTAAATCAGCTGAAATCCAGCAGTTTATATCGGGTTTCCCGGAACTCTTTGGGCACCGGAACATCAAGGATAAGATCTTCACTTTTGTGGGAGCAGGATTCCCATTAACAGGTGTGATCCTTCACATTGAAACTGGAGCCCTGATAAACCTCATCGACTACGACAGGGAAGTGGTGGAAACCGCCAAAAAGTTTCTAGAACTCACTGATAAGCTGGGGGTAACCCGACCAGGTTCTATAAAAGTGATGCTGGCAGATGCAAGAGATCTTATCTACCTGCCTACCTCCAAACTTCCCGGAAAAATCAGGAGGCATGACGGACCAACTTGCTCCCCGCACTGCCCCATGAACCAAGGAATGAGCGGGAAACGGATCGTCCCAACGGACATCCTGGATTTAGCAAGCGCCCTAAGTCCGGAGACCACCTCCCAGGTGATCAACATAAACGCCTCGCTAGTCCCAACAATCCGTAAAAGAAACGTACGGGGAATGTCGGAGCTTCTCTATGAGAGGTATGATCTGAAGGAGGGGACCAACTTCAGGTTGGCAGGAGAGGTGACCCCCCCTCAGAAGGTGATTAGTGGGGCTACACCCGCTCATCTGGTCACAGGGTTTAATTCTACCTGCAATGTTAACTCTTGTCAGCTGCTTTTGAACACGTGCAATTTCGGGTCTAAGTTGGATTTTCTGGAGAATATTCTCGATAATCCGGAGTATGAGGCGCTGAAGGAGGCGGTGGAGGAGGTTGAGGAGATTGGAGGGTGTGACAGTTTGTGGGATAGTCGCGTGATAGAGTTTTACAATAAAAGGAGTTTCGTTTCAATTTCTGGAGTTGTTTAAAAAACATTCGTATAAGCTCCTGTTCAAATTAATTTCATAAAACTAAAACATCTTTTATAATAAAATGAGTTTTGTTTCATTGTTTTGTATTTTAGACCATGTTACCGTGGTATCATGTATCAGTATAATAGTTAGCCACGATTTGGAACTGAGGATAAAGTCATGCGGACTCGGAGGTAACAGACGTTTATAACTATAAGCACACAGATCATATATACACTCGCAGAAAATAGGATTCGAGCAATAGAGTCTTTGTTATAGCCTGAGCTAGTGAGCTACACCTTAAAAATGTCATAAGTATAATACTCCAACTCATGCCCCTGTTCTTTTTGGCTGTTAGCATGGACTATGGACTTATGGAGTAAACACAGATGTGCATAGGTTATACAGCATAACCAACAAATAAAACGTAATATTGTGACAACAGATTTCAAAGTTATCATGATGTAAATTGAGCACAGCCGTAATTGCGGTAGATCACATATTTCTGGCATGATAAACAGAAAGAACACTTATCCGATGTTGAAGATGGGTTTTTAAAACCAATAATTCGATATCTAGCGCTAAAGTTCACTTGATAGCGTCCAGCATTTTTACAAAAATCGTTCGCATCAATATTCATCGACGCCCAATTTTCCATGATCATGAATTTTACACTATTTGAATAAAGGTCAATTAGTCATAACTTGAATATTTTACTTTAAGGCGTTTTTAACTCAATCAAACAGTAATAATAATATAAACGAAATCCGAAATTTGTAAACAATATTAACACTGCTGCAATTTACGACAAACATCCGTAACATTAATAAACCTTTTCGAGCTGAAATCAAGTTTTTATATATTTTTCTGAAAACCAGTCGACTGTAAGTAAAAATGCATTCAGACATGAAAAACATTTACAACGAAAATTGTATGCATACTTTGGATTGGCATGCATGCGATTGGACAAAGTAGTCATGCGAAATTATGAGCGGCCCTATATAATCTGTAATCATGTGCGGGTTTAGTGTCACAAATAAATAAAATAAACTGTTCTAATTCGAAGCAAATATACATCAGCTTTTTTTCTGATAATTTTCGAGTACTTTCAAAAGTTTTACATAACAGCGCATTTTTAAAAAGTCCTAAAAAACGAAAGATAGTTCAAAATTACAGCTAGCTTCCACTAAATGCAAACGTGTACAATGTACATTGCATATATGGTTGAGGTTCATAGTCATTCATTAGATCACCTGCACCATATATACTTTGATCAATTTCTGTATTACACATTCAAGTTCACAACTTCAAAATAAGTTTCGGGAAAGTCTCCAAATCTCTAAATCTCAATTGTTAAATCGTTGAGAAATCGGATGGTTTAACCATGACCAACGAGCTTTTGGTTGTCTTCATCTCCATCGTCGGTTGGGAAGCACCCAGGGAAAAGTGATGTTTTGACGTCTGGGGTAAGCCAGATGTAGCACAGTAGTCCCAGAATCCCCTGTGTAACAGTGTATCATGGTGGTATTATGTGAATATACGCTTATTATAGATGTGGATACTGGTGGGGAGGTGAAACACATTTGTTTACTTTAATAGTAAGCACATGTTCAGCGGGTTGAGGAGGTGAAACACATTTGTTTACATTTTTAGGGTAAGCACATGTTCAGCGGGTTGAAGAGATGATACACATTTTGTATTATAGAAGGCTTGTAACACTTGTAACGCTTTCTTGTTACCCCCCTTTGAAGGCCCCGAATTATTTTCTGAACGAAAGCTCAAAAATAACCGAGAAATCGACCTTCTTATTAACTCATTTTGATGACTGTTTCTGACCTAAAATTGCACGAAAAATCGATTTAGCTAGGTTTCAGAACCTATAAACACTTCCTTATCCCTCAAAATTGATGTTTTATAGTTGATACGAGCAACAAGCAACATATGTTTTGATCCTTCGGTTCTACTCATGACCTAGGCAGTTAAGCTGAACCCGACAGATCGAGGCAATCCTCACCTTAACTGATCAAACTGGTACTAACACAATTTTCAGATATAAATGTTCTTTGCGATACGTTTATTGCAGCTTTGCAACTTGAGTGAAGACCAGAGTACGAAAACACACAGCAGGTAAGCAACTCACTTTTGGTGACTGTTCCTCACGAACATTCTGATCCTGTAACAATTTAGTATACGGTAGCTTAGAAGTGAAACCCACTTATTGTAGTACCAACTATGGTCATACGAGACTAAGGAATAATATACATAAATAAGTTACATAATAAATTACCATATATAACAAAGATATGAATAGGGAGATCGTCTCCTTAACAAATCGAACAGGTACTATCACAATTTCCAGAGCAGGTACTATCACAATTTCCAGAGCGTAATTTTCACAATTTCCAGAGCATAACAAAGTCAAAAGAAACACAACGAAGGTAGGTTACCAACACCACAATATAACAATTATACTAACAACTGAATTAAATTTATTCTGACGACGGGCAGCCCTGATGTGCTCCGTCATCCTCAACGAGCGACCACTTGTAATAGAGGTGTTATGTCATGTGACACCGATCCGTCCAATCACAAACAGGACGAGTCAGCAGATCGATATCGTGTGTTTACTTTCCTTATCTTTATTTGACCCTCTGTTCACATTGTTATCTCTACCACATCTCGGCTCGGCAAGGTCCACGTGCAATATCTGCACCGCGGTAAACACGCCATGATTACGTCATGAACTTGAAATAGTGTGATTGTTGTACTTATATAACCGTGCCCATTGCCCACGTACAATACAAACTGTTGGGGGGGGGGGGGGGGGGGATTGTAGGAACTTATCGTCCAGTCATGAACAGAATATTAACATAATTTTTTAGTTATTTAAGCAGACCTGGTCATTTAAAAAAAATCACTGTCCACTTCCCTCAAAAAAACAGGGTTCAAATTAACAAGTTGGGCACACACGAATGCGATGTCGCTCAGATAAGGCAACATCTTCGCCACAACTTTGTTTCCCAAAATCTTGTACCGCTTCAGATAGCCAATTGAGCGTTCCACGTGGATGCGGGCGATGCTGACTTTTCTGCTGGCTGCTACTTCTTCCGGCGTGAACTGAGTCTTGCCCCACATCCCCGCTGGGATGTTTAGTGTAACTCCTGAATTTAATTCGCTTTTTATGCCGCTTATTCTTAACTAACCGGACGTTGATTCATCACTATACACTCAACTGTTACGTGACGTTTCAACACGTAATATGCTGAAACCTTAACGAGAAATTAGAAACCATAGGTCATAGCACGTTATCTTGCCAGAGGAGCATCATTTGGGTGATTCGCAATCCGCATACAAAAATATAAATACTACGATTTAAGTTGGTTTCAACTGTTAGTGTTATAGGGGCCCGTTCAGAAAAATCTCATATTTCGAGTGTAGCACGGTTGGAACTAACCTTCGGGCAAAATGTCGTGAATGAGGAACCCCTTGTCAGCCATCACGTTGTCACCAACAGTCAGCTTCTGCAGTATGGCACTATCCACTACAATTTCCTTATCGGTTGTGCCACCAGGGTAGCAGCGGCTGACATACGTGATTACCCCACTGGGCGCAATTCCGATCAGTAACTTGGCTGTGTGCGTAGCTGGAGATGGAACAGAACGATTATGCAAGGGAAATTGTATGAGGTACGAAAGCAGAAGATCTGTAATTTACGTTGCAGGTTCAGTATTATTGAAAGGTATGATCGACTGAACTTACACTTATAATGGCTGTAACATCTGGCGCCCGACTCAATGTTGGACGGAGCTTCAATTGGGTCCTGTGGATTGTAGGAATTTTCAATTGCTACAGCTGCAATAACATAATTTTGAACATCACAATTCGCACCCCGCCGCGCCGTAATTGTACTGCTGTAGAGAACACCAATTCACTGGTCACGTTCAAAGCGAAATATTGCGTCAACTTATGCAATATGTTGCTGTGACTTTCATAATTTTGTCTGAGCTCTAAAGTTGTAGCTGCTCATTCGGTTCTGGTAATGGACTCAAATCATACCTCGGTACAGTCAATCACAATCCTAGTGTTGGGGTGGGAAGCGAAGCATGCGGGCATGGCTTTCTGGCACTTCGCTAGTGACGGTAGATCGTCGCCAACCAGGGTCTTGAATTTGTTGACCATGATATCCAGCCAGGACCTCCATATCGATGTTATCTGTGATCTCGATACCTGAATTTACCTGCATTTAGCTTCGTTGCAATATACTAGGAAAAAAGTTTTGAAGCAGTCCCTAGAACAGCTGCATCTATTTCTAACTCTTTTTTGAAAATGTGAGAAGTCGAAAACTGCACCATGGTGAACTAGTACTTCAACTCTGTCAGGTATAACCATGCTCGTCCTCCTGTATACTGCCTCCTCCTGGAACATACAGTTCTTGTCAGTGAAGTCGTGTCCTAGATTCTGTTTTTAAACACTTACTGTCAAAATAAAGCAAAGCAGCACTCATGGATATATGCATTATTCCTTTGCTTCCAGTTGGTGTAAACTTAAAGCACAGTTCATCATTTGGATCTCACTCAGTTCACAATCGCGACCTCATATTAGAGTAAATGTTTTTAATAATACGCAATTGGACAACTAAACCGAAACATGCTATAACTAAACAATGTTAATGTTCCGTTCCTGATTGAACAGTTAGCATCACAGTCAGTTGGAGGAGCGACCAACACACTATCAAGATCGGTTGTTTATCTTAAAACCCCCCCCCCCCCCAACAGTTTGTATTGTACGTGGGCAATGGGCACGGTTATATAAGTACAACAATCACACTATTTCAAGTTCATGACGTAATCATGGCGTGTTTACCGCGGTGCAGATATTGCACGCGGACCTTGCCGAGCCGAGATGTGGTAGAGATAACAATGTGAACAGAAGGTCAAATAAAGATTTAAGGAAAGTAAACACACGATATCGATCTGCTGACTCGTCCTGTTTGTGATTGGACGGATCGGTGTCTCATGACATAACACCTCTATTACAAGTGGTCGCTCGTTGAGGATGACGGAGCACATCAGGGCTGCCCGTCGTCAGAATAAATTTAATTCAGTTGTTAGTATAATTGTTATATTGTGGTGTTGGTAACCTACCTTCGTTGTGTTTCTTTTGACTTTGTTATCATGCTGTGCTCTGGAAATTGTGATAGTACCTGTCCGATTTGTTAAGGAGACGATCTCCCTAGCTGTTCATATGTTGCAGGATCAGAATGTTCGTGAGGAACAGTCACCAAAAGTGAGTTGCTTACCTGCTGTGTGTTTTCGTACTCTGGTCTTCACTCAAGTTGCAAAGCTGCAATAAACGTATCGCAAAGAACATTTATATCTGAAAATTGTGTTAGTACCAGTTTGATCAGTTAAGGTGAGGATTGCCTCGATCTGTCGGGTTCAGCTTAACTGCCTAGGTCATGAGTAGAACCGAAGGATCAAAACATATGTTGCTTGTTGCTCGTATCAACTATAAAACATCAATTTTGAGGGATAAGGAAGTGTTTATAGGTTCTGAAACCTAGCTAAATCGATTTTTCGTGCAATTTTAGGTCAGAAACAGTCATCAAAATGAGTTAATAAGAAGGTCGATTTCTCGGTTATTTTTGAGCTTTCGTTCAGAAAATAATTCGGGGCCTTCAAAGGGGGGTAACAAGAAAGCGTTACAAGTGTTACAAGCCTTCTATAATACAAAATGTGTATCATCTCTTCAACCCGCTGAACATGTGCTTACCCTAAAAATGTAAACAAATGTGTTTCACCTCCTCAACCCGCTGAACATGTGCTTACTATTAAAGTAAACAAATGTGTTTCACCTCCCCACCAGTATCCACATCTATTAGGCAAAATAATACGTGGAAAATTGAAAATGCCCTAAAAAACATTAAGTTCAATTAATAATTTTAACTAAATATAACTACATACTTCATACTTATATAGTATATAATATATATGTAAATTGAATATATATCGAACTTTATTTAAACGGACATTAAGATGTCATTGTCCGTACCGTTACGGTAGGGCCTCTAAGTCTAGCGTCTAGCCTCTAATTAATGTTCGTTAAAATAAAGTCCGATAAGGAATATTATAATGTATAAAATGATATTTCACCTGGACTGCTAGAAGAGCTCGAGATGTGTACTGGATGTATGGATGAGCTCTGAAAGAGTTGAGGGTCCAGGAAATCACTACATTCAGGAACATTATTCCGGAACTAATCACGTCAATCTGAAATGTGGAGTGTTAGTACATTCCCTGAATTAGTATACTATTAGTACATTAATTAGTATACTATTAGTACATTAATACCGAATTGCCGCCACTATTTTGTTTTTTAACTGGCCTTTTTTTTTACTTTAGATAAAACGGCAATTAAAACTATAACTGGCGTAAGGTTTCAAAACTAAATATGAACACTCACTCCACATTTTTTGTCTGAGATGAAACAGGTTACCACAGGTACAAAGTACATGCAGATACCCAAGAGAATAAACGCAAAGACAGGGGTCGTGAAGAGGAAGATCTCTAGATCCTGGTTGAACCAGCACCTAATAATAAGATAATTATGTTAAATGTAAATAGATAAATACATAATTAACTAAATAGTCATATCACTTGATTAGATGTGAAGAATACAACATCACCCGTGCACACCGATCAAAGTGTATACATCTAACTTAGCCAAGATATCTCCATTCAAATGCTCCATAAATCAAATCATAATTTAAAACTGTATTAATCAAACTCAAACTCAAGGTGGTTGTCAGTTTTACTTACGTTTGGGCGTCAAAGGGCTGGACAAACTTTACCGCGGAGGAGGTCAGCTTATAGTACAGGATGAATGCACTCGGGACTAGGAAAGCAGCTATGTAGACTACGGGTATCATCTGAGATATTATTTTAGTCATAATTAAGTAGATAATCAGATAGTTATGATGCAATAACTTTGAGTTATTGGATAATAAAAGTCCCGTAATAATTCATTTGAATTTCCCAATTTTTATGGAGATCTTGGTGTTAAGCGACCATGAAACTATGCAAATGAAAAGGACAGAACAGAAAATGCATATTACAAACCTTGTAACTATAATTTTTGGAGGGTTTCAAGTCAGGATGTTTCATTCCCAGAATCACGTTCCTCAAACAGAAGAACTCGACAGAGAACCACAGCAGGGTTGCAAGTACAAATATCTCCACTGAAATTAAACTACGATCAGGATTGCGATCCTCCAAAGGTAATGACATGTTATTTCAACTATGTGATAATCAGTGCTCAGGTATAATTTAAATTAATATTATCAAGACTTGTGTTCTTGCTGATGACCTATAAGGACCAACAACCAGAGCATATATAACCGATACTAACAAAGGCCAGGCATATTGATGCTTTTCAAACAAAGTTACAACGAATTCTTCATGTAGTTCATCCTGGGTTTGGACAGGATATGCCCGTTTAAAATATTTCCATCACGTTACATTACATAATTCTAAAACATATATTATGTTTACAATAAATTACGCAATATCACAACATTACGATCAACAAAATAAATTTAATCACAGAATCTCAGATACAAATAATCATAAATTAAACACAAAAAAAAACAAATTAAACAAGCAATAAATATGATACAGGCCACAGGGTGACTATTATAATTATATACGATTGCAAAGAAGAAATGAAGTTATAAAACATCAAAGGCTTTAGAAGATTTTTGAAGAGAAGCTTTTCTGCCGACTCCTTGACTGACATTTCCGGTTTTGACTGAATTTTGACCATTGACCAATCAGTGAGGTCGGTAAGAGTGACACAAGTCACCATCAAGGTGCTGGAAGCAGCATATCCGGAGAAAACTTTGATGCAATGAAAGTTTTGAATATGTCCTATCGGTAGGAAATTTTTAAATTTCAGGTTTCCGCGATCAAAATTTCACTGTTATGACTGAATTTTTCTTGAATGACCATCTTACAAGGTCACTAAAAATGGCACAAGACACGATTGACGTACTGACAGTTCTAATCCCAAATAGAGCTTTGATAAACGAAAAATGATCAAAATATAAAAATAGATTTTAAATTTTATAGTGACACTAACTGAGATAGACCATGTAAACACAGCTGATGTTAGCTGGTAACATGTAAGTGGTGAGAAGGGAGAGGAGATGACTGCCAACCATACCCACACATATCTGCATCCTGCACTGCATCAGAGGCTGTCTCCGGGTACTGAGTAAATGTAAAGTGTTACTATGGTAACATTACCTTATATGGAAGTGTTATAAACTTATGAATTTTAAAATAAAAATATGATTTGAGAGGTGCTTGATTTTTATTTTTATTTACATTTTAGGCCAATAAATATTTAATATGTACCAGTAAAATGTCCTCCCGTCAGCCAGAAGGTTTTGATCAATGCTCAAATCGAAACAGGTTAAAAATGTTCAAGGTTCCTAGCGTTTTGAGTGGACACACAACAAAAACCCTTGTGTTTGATAAAGCAAGCCCTAGTATACCTAGCTTTGACGAGAAGTATAAAGACCACTGCTAGAGGTATCATAGCTCCAATGTCCAGAATATCGTAAGCGTGTAACAGCATGGAGGTTGCTGCTGTACCAACTGTAAAGTTTCCCCACAATCCGCTCGTGTAGTTTCTCGTCTGAAGCATATTACTCATGTCATATATAACCCGGTGGATGTCCTTGCTGTACGGCAGTGTTAAACAAGGAACTGAAACCGAGCGGTTCCGTTCAGGACCTTCACACTTTGTTTCTGTCGAGTTCTAATGTACCGTCACAATAGTGACTTTAATATTACTGCTGAATAACAAATAATGTGAGTTCTAGCGGATTTAGTTCTTTCCTCTATGAATGGTAATAGTTAAGAAGACCAAAAATTGGACATCAACTCAACAACAACTCACAAAACAATCGAGTTATGATTCTACTTCAAAATAAACCTGAGTAAACAATTAAATAGACCTGAGTAAACAATTAAATAGACCTGAGTAAACGTTTAAATATACCTAAGTAAACAATTAAATAAACCTGAGTAAAACATTAAATATACCTGAGTAACAGCTAAGAACATCTTCCAGGAGGAACACTGACAGATAACGCTCTGGTAGTCATGTTCTACAGTCACGTGGTCACACGATCCCCTAGACCAATCTGGTGACTCTGCCTCATTCAACTTTTCTGTGCAATAAATGATACTGTTAGAAATTTATTCAACACTGTTGGGAGCCTTGTTTAATTTGTTAATTTGTTAATTTGTTAACAGCTCTGCGATATAAGTCGAATATCCAAGAAATTGTATCATTCAATAAAAACATCCATTTTGTCTAATAACGGTTAAAAAGCTGGGATAAACTTTCATCAGTTTGGCATTACTAGTGCTATTGAAGTATTGAGTATAGCCTATCTGACAAAGAAGTTAATTTGTCTACTTGATAGCATTTTTTGAGCTATTTATTTATAAAGTTATTCATTTTAAAGCGGAATGTTAGCGGTACTGAGAGAGTTTAGGAGTGTTTTAGCAAGTTTTTATTCTCCGTTTAAGGTTGTTTCCTTTTATTTTAGTATCTTTTTAAAATGATTTTAGTTTTGCATCTTTCTTGGCTGCAGCATCTTACCGTTTTTCCACTTTCCTAAGTGGAAGACTCCGCATGCATAATGGCGCATTTTGTTCAACTAAATATTGAAAAAATCAAACACATTTTTTTGCTAAATGTAAAAAAATTCGATCCAGACAATTTAAGAGATTGACATGTAAGTTTGATAATGTTTTTAAAAATTCTTTTAGAACGAATAGCACGGTTAATGCTTTAATGGATACAAATTAGAATAGAAACGGAGATTGAGCTTTTTAACTTATTAGTGAAACAGCAATTACCGGTTCAGATGAAGTGAAGTTGACTGTGATGTACTGTGTCTCTCCTGGTATGGTGGAGTTGTGCGGCAGATCGACCCAAGCTAGCGGACTGAAATGTGGTATTTTGGCTTATAATATGGCTCACTGTTTACATCCCCACCAGTATTCAGACCTAAAAACAAGAGCGTAAGATACAAAATTACTTTATAAAATACGTATAAATAATCAAATACGTACCTGATGATGTCACTCTGCGTAGTGGAGGGGAAGAGAAGGTTCTGCATTGTCCACATGAAGCTGGTCTGTACGTAGTTGTTAGCTCTAATCTGAAAGTATCAAGATTAAGGAGCAAGGGAAAACATTAAATTCTCATATTATCTAATCAGCAAGAATAAAGAAAAAGGAGAACATTAATCTCCAGAAAAAGCTGCACTTGTCGTTGAATTAGTTAGCATTAACAAAAACCAGTGATGAATGGATAATTTAAAAATCAACTTTTCGAGGATTAATTTATTTTCTAGTTCTACCGACGCTTAGTGCCTACTTTTAAATTGAAATTTATTTTCAAAAGGGAAGAAATATAAGGTCTTACATCGATCATCCAGCCATCGTATAGATGAACAGAAGATGACATGGCAGCAGCTTCCTTTTTCACTTTTATAGCCGCATAAGAGAAGGCTCGCTTGAAATTCTCACTGACCAGCGAGACCCACGTGTTGATAATGTTGGCAGTGGACACAATCAATCTGGAGTGTGGAGGGAGGTGATTTATTCATTTATAGTGATATTTTACCATAGTAACACTACCATAATATAAGGTAATGTTACCATAGTAACACTACCATAATATAAGGTAATGTTACCATAGTAACACTACCATGTAAGGTAATGTTACCATAGTTACACTACCATGTAAGGTAATGTTATCTATATTGGATGTCTATTAATAAGGATCTGAAATTTGCGCCAAGAGTTGGAACAAGTTGACTTTAAGAGGCCTTCATTTTAAATACTTAACTTGGCCTTGCTGGAAAACTGGTAAGCTGGTGACAAGCCAGCAAATGTCAGGAAGGACTATTCATTGTTTCATATACCTTATCGGACCTTATTTGGACGGACATTATTTGAACGGACATAATTATGAACGGACATTAATATGAACGCTAGAAGGCAATCAAAACCATCAAAAATCCAAATTTTTTTCATCTTTTTTTTAACTTTTTAAAAATTTTAGCAAATGATTTTTAAATCCATTTACATACAGTAATAGCAAGAAAAGCAGTCTTTAATCAGTATATATGTTAAAATATGTGTACATCATGATCATTATCTAATATCACATATCATCTTCATCAAATGGAGTTTCGTGCAGGGAGATATCCCGGTATGTCTTCTACTTTATCGAGATGGGTGGTATGGTAGAAGGTATCGTAGCTGACATAAGCCACCGAAGGTCGCCTATACCAAGTGGGGGCTAGAGATAAAGCTTAAGCTGTACTTTAGGCATTCAAGTATCTCTCTATTAGAGCAGTTGGGATCGTTCATTGCCCGGTACGACTACGAGTTGGACAGACAACCAGTTGTAAGAGAAAATGTGGATGTAGAAGAAGCCGAAGATCAACTTCAAGATAGTGATCATGCAATAATGTGATACTGATATTTACAATTCAGATTGTTAAAATTTTATAATACTTTGTTTTTATTGATTCAACGATATAGTTTAGTTTAATGATAGCTATTGAAATTGACTGAAATTAAAAAATTGTCATATTCTGGACAAAAAGTTCGAAATGGAAAAATTGTTGAAAAAAATTCAACGGACTTTAACTTGGACGGACATTAATTGAACGGACTTTATTTGAACGGACATTAAGGTAAACGCTAGGGCCTCCAGCGTTCAAGTAATGTCCGTCCAAATAAGGTCCGATAAGGTAGTCAAATGAAGACTTACCTGTTTCTATAGTTACTATCAAGGTTGCCTGCGTAACCAAAGTTCCAAGGATCTAAAAGCACGTAACGTAATGCGTTGTAACAAGTACGTTTCTCCTGAAATTAAGTTTTATTTCATTACGAAAGTTTAGTAAAAACGTAAATCTCTTAAAACTAGTTTGGTTAATAGTTAATTTACCTTTTAATCAAATTGAACAAGAATCTTGAAAATTATCTTTTTTTTGTATCTATGTCCATAATTATATAACCAACCAATTAATCATAATCCATAAGCTCATCCAATTAAATCAGAAACAAATAGTATAATTCAACAAGATCTATCCACCTTAAAAATATTAAGCTATTTTCTAAATGAAAAGAAAAGTACCCACCGTTTTCTCGGTGATGTTGAAGCTGTATTCGTGAAGCCTGTCCAGAGCAGCTAGTGTGTATTCCTTTGACAAGTTAACGCTCAACATATTCTCTAAAGTAACACAACTCTCATCTTTTAGGCCCTAATAATTAGTAGGGACGAAGAGGTGTTCAGTGTTGTTAATATCAATAACTTTTATATGATCAGTTGCTAAGTTACTTTCAAAGTAAACGGAACTCGGACAGACAATAAGTAAGAAATGCAAAATTGAGTAAAGTGTTTCTTCAGAACAAGATCTAACCAGTAAAGCGTTCGTGGTATTTTCAGCAGGAATACACATCGTGTTCTCGGTGTCCTCAGTGTCTTCAGTGTCCTCGGTGTCCTCAGCGTCTTCCTTTGAATCAACTGATCCCGAGTTGTCAGTGTTTTCTGAGTTATCTGCAGAGTCTCTTTTTGAAACGCTCCTTTTCCTTTTCCCAATCCCACCATTTCCACTCGCTTCATTTCCATTCACATCATCTTGAATCCCTCCATTTGCTGCATCATTTACTGCATCTCCATTTACTACATCATTTACTACATCTCCATTTACTGCATCTCCATTTCCTGCATCTCCGTTTGATGTATCGTCATCTACTGTATCGTCATCTGCTGTATCGTCATCTGCTGTATCGTCATCTGCTGCATCGTCATCTGATGCAACTTCATTTGATGCATCGTCATTTCCTGCATCGTCATCTGCTGCATCGTCATTTGATGCATCGTCATTTCCTGCATCGTCATTTCCTGCATCGTCATCTGCTGCATCGTCATTTCCTGCATCGTCTGCTGCATTGTCATCTGCTGCATCGTCATTTGATGCATCGTCATTTAATGCATCGTCATTTCCTGCATCGTCATCTGCTGCATCGTCATTTCCTGCATCGTCATTTGCTGCATCGTCATCTGCTACATCGTCATTCCCTGCATCGTCAGTTCCTACATCGTCATCTGCTACATTGTCATTTCCTGCATCGTCATCTGCTGCATCGTCATTTGATGCATCGTCATTTCCTGCATCGTCATTTCCTGCATCGTCATTTGCTGCATCGTCATTTCCTGCATCGTCTGCTGCATTGTCATCTGCTGCATCGTCATTTGATGCATCGTCATTTAATGCATCGTCATTTCCTGCATCGTCATCCGCTGCATCGTCATTTCCTGCATCGTCATTTAATGCATCGTCATTTGATGCATCGTCATCTGCTACATCTCCATCTGCTGCATCTCCATCTGCTTCGTTTCCGTTATCGTCTTCATTTCCTTGTGTTTCATCTGTTTCAGGTTTAGAAGAGTAAGTGAAGTCACTTCCAGGTAGCTTGTTGCCACAAATTTCATCAGTTCCCTGAGATCGAAAAAGGTATCGTTAGTATGATCTTACGGCTTACCGGAACTAAAAATTACAGGAGTTCATATATGAATATATTTCCTTTTAAAGTTTGTTACATTTTCAGCAATCATTTCTTCTGAATCGTCTGCTCAATTCAACTCACGTTTATTTTCCACTGTAAAGCCAGGTCATTAGTTACGACATCCTTGTACCTAATGAGGTCCCACTCGGAGTAGTAACACCGCCGTGTAATCGTCATGTCACCGACTTTCAATTCGTGCTTCTTACCTGCCGGATAAAATGTTTCCTTGTGTTTACATCGAAAACGTGTTTTATCACGTTTTGGATTGTTGGGGTTCACGAAAGAATAATAAAATCACTATATGAGGAGAAAGCGACCTTGAACATTTACGATCCTCACGAACTGTTGAATCAAAATCGCTCTACGCTTGTCATATCAGTGGCATAAAGTCAACAAACCATTGGCAGTTTTTGGCCAAGTGATATTTCCCAACTCTTTAACGAAAGGGTTCCTCTCCTCTAGCTCTGTACAACAGGTCGGGTCAGGTTCACATTTCGGGGACTCCAACACTGGAGTCTCCACCGAGCAGGTGGCTTTTCTTAACTTCTGTTTTATCCTGAGAGCGCGTTTTTATGGTTAACAAACGTATTTTTAATAACTCAGTGTTATAGTTAAATGTGGAGGTGGACTTTGTCAGAAGTTAAGAACCCGTAGCTGATCAGCTGATAAAATCTTTGTTAACACTAAAGTTGTAATAGTTGGGATATTAAGTTTCAAATGATGCCGACGAAGAGTGCGGTTGGTCTGATATCGTGGGTAGAGGTCACCTGTAGCAGTGTCCAGTACACGTGTAGGTGACGGTTTTGCCGCGGTACAGATACCGTACAGAGGAGACGTCGTTTATAGGGAATCCTTCATCCGCTTGGTTCTGGGGAATCTTGCAGCAAACTGTAGACAAGTTATAGATAATCAGTAGACAAGTTATAGATAATCAGTAGACAAGTTATAGATAATCAGGTTGACTCAATTGTGAACTTAATCTTCAAGGAACGAAATATTTCCTTGTGTTCAACTTTTTCCTAAGCAGCCTGCTGTGAATGTCATATATAAAAACTCTACATGGCATGTAAACTTTGCTCTAACCAGAGCCCTCTCGCGCTTGCGGCATCGCACGACCGCCATACGGCGGTTTAACTTTAATTGTGAAAACACTTACACTTCTCCAACTTAAACTCACTCTCCAGCACCAACTGCTCACGTCCAGTAATATTAACGAGTCTGTCCGGATCTTGTGGCCGGAACTCCACCGGGATGTCCCAAGTGGTGGATAGAATCTTCCCCTCGTGACACGTGACATTATCCCACGTGACTGAGAAACACGGACACCGCTTATCAAAGTGCACGTGTCTCCCTGAAATTAAAGTTTAATTGTGTTGTCTCTCTTTGTTGTTTGCATGTTATCCGTTTCAATAATTTGTTTGCCCTTTTTTACTGGACGGTGTGGACTTGGAGATTAGTAATCTGCAGAAAAAAGAAACGGCCACTCAACGGCAATTCAACGGCAACTCAACGGCTAAAGAACAGCCACTCAATAGCCACTTAACGGCCATAGAACAACCACTCAATAGCCACTTAACAGCCATAGAACAGCCACTCAAGAGCCACTTAACGGCTTAAGAACAGCCACTCAAGAGCCACTTAACGGCCAAAGACGAGAGAATGGGCGTTTCTCCGACTGAGTTGTAGACGTTCTGGAACATTCTACCTCATATGCATAGTTGAGTCTAGACTTTGAGATTAGTTATTTGCAGAATTGGGTATGTTGTTCAAGCTACGCCAGTAGAAGCGATGCTCCAAGAGACACCGTTTCAAGAGGTTATCTAAACTTCACGTGTGAATTGTGAGATGATCATAATTGATCATCTCTCGAAGGATGGGATGGTAATACTCGGTCTGGCCGTCTGGAAGCCCATAGAATTCCAGTTCAGAAACCGAGTAAGGAGGTGCGGCTACTGATGAGAAGCCTCCTTAAAGTTTATTTGGGTTAGAAACGACATCTGGGTCCCTACCCTCGCACAAGATTATTCTCAATTTTCTTGTTGTGTCCACAACTATACCGTTGATCAGAGTCACATCTGATGACTTCAGTGAAAGGGCTGATGACTTCAGTGAAAGAGCTGGTGACCTAGTGAAAGTGCTGGTGACGATGAGAAAGACCATAAACCAGGGATTCCTTCGGGAGCATGTAAGATTATATCCAAAGTTTGTTCGCCAATGGGGTGTGTCTGGGTGTCAAAGATCTTCAAGGTGGGTGCTACTTGTGATGAACTCTAGAAGGATGGGATGGTAATACTCGGTCTGGCCGTCTGGAAGCCCATAGAATTCCAGTTCAGAAACCGAGTAAGGAGGTGCGGCTACTGATGAGAAGCCTCCTTAAAGTTTATTTGGGTTAGAAACGACATCTGGGTCCCTACCCTCGCACAAGATTATTCTCAATTTTCTTGTTGTGTCCACAACTATACCGTTGATCAGAGTCACATCTGATGACTTCAGTGAAAGGGCTGATGACTTCAGTGAAAGAGCTGGTGACCTAGTGAAAGTGCTGGTGACGATGAGAAAGACCATAAACCAGGGATTCCTTCGGGAGCATGTAAGATTATATCCAAAGTTTGTTCGCCAATGGGGTGTGTCTGGGTGTCAAAGATCTTCAAGGTGGGTGCTACTTGTGATGAACTCTAGAAGGATGGGATGGTAATACTCGGTCTGGCCGTCTGGAAGCCCATAGAATTCCAGTTCAGAAACCGAGTAAGGAGGTGCGGCTACTGATGAGAAGCCTCCTTAAAGTTTATTTGGGTTAGAAACGACATCTGGGTCCCTACCCTCGCACAAGATTATTCTCAATTTTCTTGTTGTGTCCACAACTATAATTGTTATTAATTCCTTGTTTAATCTGGAAATGTAATATTGCGTATGTGATTTAGGTATTAATAATAATATATATTATTAATGCACTGCAAAATCCGAGGCTAACGATAATATATACTGAAAGCGCGGTTGATGCAATAATTGTCGCACGTCTCACAGAAAAATGAGCAGCGCACTCAATCACAGGAGGTTTATTGCACGAATTATAAGTAAAGCCTATTAATAGTTGAATCTTATTTTATTGAGGAGAGTTCAAGTTTCATTTATTTCTTTTAGTTTTTGACTTTCCGTGAAAAACATGGGTAAATTTATCCTTTTTACTGCGGTGATTGTTGTGACGCTGTTCAGTTTTGTGAGCACTGCAAAGGTACAATGCAGTGGTGGAAAATTCAACAAGCTCGTCAGGAAGCATAAAAAGTGCTTAAAAGCAGGTGATCATGAACTAATTTTATTTTAAACCTCATTTTAACCTGATTGTAACCTCATTTTCAATCTCTACTTGAAGTTCCATGTAATCGCTCATCACTTCATTGATTCTCCTTTTACAGAATTCGTAAACATGCGTTACAATTTCTCATTCCTTTTTGTAAGTTACAAAACGAATAAATATCTTAACGTACGTTCATAAAAGTTGTAAAAGAATGAATTAAAGGACTGATATGAGCTTCAGGTTTTGTCTCAGAACTAGAAGGCTGCAGTGGTGAGGGGGAGGGTGAACCAGATACGCTGTGTTCTAAAATTGAAAAGGCACTAGCGGGGTGCGACTACAAATGTCCCGGTGAGTGTAATCTGTAAGTAAGAAAACCTCCAATTTACCGTAGAGTTTGGGGGAAGGAAACAGCCGCGGTAAATCGGGGGTTGCAGTAAGTCGGGGTTTCTTTGTTCACATTATGCATATTAAGCCCTATTTAGGGATAACCATTTTAAACATTTGCATTTACCTAACTCTAGCTCAAATATAACCTCATATAAAATCAAAATGGGGTGAATAGTAGATTAAATAATTTTTTGCCGAATGGGACAATGTGATTGATTAATGTTGATTGATTAATTAGATTATTAAAACTTTGATATTACAAGTAAAGCAACAAGTACAGAGTTGTGGTAACCTCGCTCAACCTCATTTAATCTCATTCAACCTCATTTAACCTCATTCAACATCATTCAACCTCATTTAACCTCAGTCAACATCATTTAACCTCATTTAACCTCAGTCAACATCATTTAACCTCATTTAACATTATTCAACCTCGTTTAACCTCATTTAACCTCAGTAAACGGCAAGTACGGAAAGTGGGGTAAGTGGTCGGCATGTTCGAAGGAATGTGGTGGTGGAATCAGATCCAGCACTAGAGTATGTGACAAACCCGCACCCGCATGGGGCGGCAAGGATTGTAAAAAGAAGGCAGTGAAGACTAAGAAATGCAATAAAAAACCCTGTCCTACCACTACACCTCCTTATTCAACTTCTAATACACCTTCACCAAGTATTTAGATTTTTTAATAATAATAATGATTTTATGATTATGAAGAAGAAAACAGGTTTATAACATGACACACTAGGCAAGGCTTAAAAAGATCATCGTGACACACTGTAATTATCTGGATCATGATATCTTCAAACTCTAAAATATTTGGCAGTTTTTCACAATGGTGAAACATTTTTCTGTGGGAGCTTCATTTAACCTCAATTTTTTATGTATTTTTTGTATTCCAGTACAAACTAGGAGTAATTGGGGATTATAATATTTATAATAATTATTTCCTTAACCCCTTTTAGCCACCCCTACTATGGGCGGCGGAACTGCTTGTGGCAGCTCCAGAAGACGTGGCACTTCAAGCAGAACTCCGAGTACTACTCAGAGTACTCAGAGTTCTTACTTTAGGTTACTTTAGAGTACATCGTGAGTGCCGAATCTTATTCGATTTTTATTTGACTTTTGACAATCGTCTGACTTTTTTTGACCCCTAGTGCACCCTTAGTTTACCCCAAGTGCACTCCTAGTTCACTCTTTACTCCCGAAGTAAAACCTCACTTTTTCAGACCAAAAGCAGCAAGATCTTATTGATACGTCATGTCGTAATGGAAGAAATCCAGCAACTTGGTAACTATAGTTACAGGAAATGGTCTGCAGTTACCATAGCAACTATCTCTGCAGGAAATTCAGTCTTTACTTTTTCTTCTCTCACTTTGTTTTTAGTTTTGTTAGTGTTAAGTTTGTTTAGCAACGTTACAAAAAAATCTGAATCAAGAACTAGAAGACTATTAACAGACAATAGTTCAGTTTTACCTGATCGATGGATTTATTTTTATTTAAAGCAATTTTCTCTCGTGTGATCATGTTTCATTATTTCCTTTAAATTGTAGTTTTACTGCTTATACTATTACATTTCAAATTTTAGCGAACAGATTTTTTACTGGGTGGTATCAAAAAAATCTCGAATGAATATAGAAAAAAGTGAAATCTACCCCAGCAGTGGATTATGAATCGTGATAATATGTTGCCATGGGGTGGCAAGTCCCCATACATCGTGGTCCGGTAGTGTCATAGCGTCTTAATATATGAAATCATCAACCCAAGTTATTCAAGAGTTCAAGCTATTTCATCAATAATAACTTTATTATCAATTGAAAATATAAATTTACCATTTTTGAAGTATTTCTGTCTGGTTAACATATCCAACCCCTCAGACGGGCCATGAAGCTTTGAGGTCTCCCCCACTGCCTGTACACAGAAAGTTGCTTCCGGTTCACCATCCAGCTTAATCGTGGGAAACTTGCAACAAACTGTGGGTGATAATTTGGTTATATGATACAAAGAAAACTCCATTCACGGACGTGAGGAGAGTTAGGACTCCGCCAACTACATTAAATCAATTCCTTCTGTAACGCCATCAATAGATGTATTTATTATTTAATTGTAGTCGTGAAATTAGTTTAAAACTAATTATTATATACGACTATAATGCAGTCAGGTGTTGTGAACATGTTTTGAGTACTATCGATGCATTCCTTATCAATAAGCAGAAATATTCGACCTAATCATTTTGTTAGGACGCACATAAAGCACAGGTACATACCTTTTTTAGCAGGTATAATGGCTGGAGTGAACACCCCGTCAACACATGTTGTAATGAAGGTGGTTCTAGTAACAGTTCCATTAGCGTCACCGTGCTTTTTTATATGGTCTTCAGAGAACTCGAACTGAACATTTAAAGTTGATAATTAACGAATATATAGAACCTTATCGAAAACCAGTACAACTTTCATGTTACAAAAAATTGTACAATTATCTTTTTTTCACACTATTTTACACTATTTTACACTTTTTTACACTTTTTTACACTTTTTTTACACTTAACCAAATTATCTTCTAAAATCTACTTTTTTCCTATCATTTTCAAATCAATCTTCACATAGTAAATTTTCGAAGGTGAAACATACCTTTGATAAAACATACCTTTGAGAAAATAATGATAATACTATAGTATAAAATAGTTTTTAACAGAATATTTTTTAACAGAAAAACGGCCGGTAACCTTGTAGCAGTCAGAGTTCCGGATGGAGTACTCGACCACAGTGTCCTTCTCCACGTGTGTAAAGTACACGTCAGGGTGGGAGGAGTGGGAGTAATCGGGATCTGGAACCTCAAACCCTGAAACAACCTGAACAACAGGTAAGAGAAGAGTTAAGGACTTTGTAAGCGAAGAGGTAAGCGATAGTTTTCTTGTTAACGTCGAATTTTAGGCTCAAGTTTGTCTTTAATGTGATTCTATACCTACGTTCAAAAGGAACCACTCGGTAAGTTTTGAAACATTGGTAACTGTCACTATTCACTCACAAGCTTCATCTGCATTAAGACTTACAGCCGTTACAAAGAAAACCTTGTAATATTCAGGGTGGAACAGCCGTTACAAAGCAAACCTTGTAATATTCAGGGTGGAACAGCCGTTACAAAGCAAACCTTGTAATATTCAGGGTGGAACAGCCGTTACAAAGCAAACCTAGTAATATTCAGGGTGGAACAGCCGTTACAAAGCAAACCTTGTAATATTCAGGGTGGAACAGCCGTTACAAAGTAAACCTTGTAATATTCAGGGTGGAACAGCCGTTACAAAGCAAACCTTGTAATATTCAGGGTGGAACAGCCGTTACAAAGCAAACCTTGTAATATTCAGGGTGGAACAGCCGTTACAAAGCAAACCTTGTAATATTCAGGGTGGAACAGCCGTTACAAAGTAAACCTTGTAATATTCAGGGTGGAACAGCCGTTACAAAGCAAACCTTGTAATATTCAGGGTGGAACAGCCGTTACAAAGTAAACCTTGTAATATTCAGGGTGGAACAGCCGTTACAAAGCAAACCTTGTAATATTCAGGGTGGAACAGCCGTTACAAAGCAAACCTTGTAATATTCAGGGTGGAACAGCCGTTACAAAGCAAACCTTGTAATATTCAGGGTGGAACAGCCGTTACAAAGCAAACCTTGTAATATTCAGGGTGGAACAGCCGTTACAAAGTAAACCTTGTAATATTCAGGGTGGAACAGCCGTTACAAAGCAAACCTTGTAATATTCAGGGTGGAACAGCCGTTACAAAGCAAACCTTGTAATATTCAGGGTGGAACAGCCGTTACAAAGCAAACCTTGTAATATTCAGGGTGGAACAGCCGTTACAAAGCAAACCTTGTAATATTCAGGGTGGAACAGCCGTTACAAAGCAAACCTTGTAATATTCAGGGTGGAACAGCCGTTACAAAGCAAACCTTGTAATATTCAAGGTGGAACAGCCGTTACAAAGCAAACCTTGTAATATTCAGGGTGGAACAGCCGTTACAAAGCAAACCTTGTAATATTCAAGGTGGAACAGCCGTCACAAAGAAAAACTTGTAATATTCAGGGTGGAACAGCCGTTACAAAGCAAACCTTGTAATATTCAGGGTGGAACAGCCGTTACAAAGCAAACCTTGTAATATTCAGGGTGGAACAGCCGTTACAAAGCAAACCTTGTAATATTCAGGGTGGAACAGCCGTTACAAAGTAAACCTTGTAATATTCAGGGTGGAACAGCCGTTACAAAGCAAACCTTGTAATATTCAGGGTGGAACAGCCGTTACAAAGCAAACCTTGTAATATTCAGGGTGGAACAGCCGTTACAAAGCAAACCTTGTAATATTCAGGGTGGAACAGCCGTTACAAAGCAAACCTTGTAATATTCAGGGTGGAACAGCTGTTACAAAGCAAACCTTGTAATATTCAGGGTGGAACAGCCATTACAAAGCAAACCTTGTAATATTCAGGGTGGAACAGCCGTTACAAAGCAAACCTTGTAATATTCAGGGTGGAACAGCCGTCACAAAGTAAAACTTGTAATATTCAGGGTGGAACAGCCGTTACAAAGCAAACCTTGTAATATTCAGGGTGGAACAGCCGTTACAAAGCAAACCTTGTAATATTCAGGGTGGAACAGCCGTTACAAAGCAAACCTTGTAATATTCAGGGTGGAACAGCCGTTACAAAGCAAACCTTGTAATATTCAGGGTGGAACAGCCGTTACAAAGCAAACCTTGTAATATTCAGGGTGGAACAGCCGTTACAAAGCAAACCTTGTAATATTCAGGGTGGAACAGCCGTTACAAAGCAAACCTTGTAATATTCAGGGTGGAACAGCTTTTGAGTGGTGCATGCTCCGACGGGGACACTCCTTTTCATTTGTCCAGAACCACAACCAGGAGGGTTCTTGTTCCAGCCTGTTTCTGTGCACCTGAAATTAATAAACTTATATCATGTGATGAGAGGATGGTGAAAGTGAAAGTGAAAGTTTGCTGATAACGTGATGTTGTCAGACGGTCTTGAAAGTGTGATATTATAGACTATGAAACAGCTGAACAGTTTTTTCAGTTGCCAACGTTACCTGTAGACAGTGTTTTCACCAAATGCAGCCTTGAATATCGGCAGAGGGTGTATCTCCAGATTATTACCCGGAGACACGTACTTCTGTCCACTGTACACAGAATATTTGGAGCCTGATCCCACTTCCATGATTGAGAAACACGGATTAGGAATGTTTCCTTCGTGGGTGTCGAAGGACTCCTTACGGAGGGACCGGAATGTTTCAATGCTGCACTGGGTCCCGGTGTTCAGCAGTTCGTGTAGGACGACATCCACTACACCGGGGACAATTTCTCGGGGGGTCCCGTCGGCTGCGACAGTTACGTTGCATACTTTGACAGGGTCTGCTGCACCATTATCTGCTCCATCATCATCTTCTGCATCACTATCTACTCCACCATCATCTTCTGCACCACTATCTGCCCCACCGTTATCTTCTGCACCACTATCTGCTCCATCATCATCTTCTGCACCACTATCTGCCCCACCGTTATCTTCTGCACCACTATCTGCCCCACCGTTATTTTCTGCACCACTATCTGCTCCATCATCATCTTCTGCACCACTATCTGCCCCACCGTTATCTTCTGCACCACCATCTGCTCCATCATCATCTTCTGCACCACTATCTGCCCCACCGTTATCTTCTGCACCACTATCTGCCCCACCGTTATTTGCTGCACCACTATCTGCCCCACCGTTATCTTCTGCACCACTATCTGCCCCACCGTTATCTTCTGCACCACTATCTGCCCCACCGTTATTTTCTGCACCACTATCTGCTCCATCATCATCTTCTGCACCACTATCTGCCCCACCGTTATCTTCTGCACCACTATCTGCCCCACCGTTATCTTCTGCACCACTATCTGCCCCACCATTATTTGCTGCACTATCATCTGCTGCTCCTGATCCAGGTTGTTCATAGTTCTCGTGTTGGGTATACCCAATGACACAAGGGTCCGGGGTGATGACACAAGTGAAGGTGATACTCCCGGAGTTATAACTGCCGGGTATCACCAGAGTTGGGGTCTGGGTGTTGGAGGTCTCGTCCCGTTCATCATCATCCACCTGTGTGAAATGTTGTCAGGTTGAAGTTTATCACCAAGAGATTAATCTAACAACTGGGAACTTAGCTCTGAAAAAAATGCATTAATGCATAGTTAGACACGTGATTTGTATAATTATACATTATAATTACCACATAGTTTCCCTGAGCCAGCTCATCGAAGACCATACCATTTGGGTTCCTCCACTGTACTCTGACAGGGTAACTGAGAGAAGACAGGGAACAAGAGAGGGTCACTGTAACTCCAGCTTGGACTGTTTGGGGGGTCGTGGTCACGTGGAATACACCCAGTGAGACTTTCGTGTCCCTGAGGTGGGAGAGGTGGAGATTTTAAAGTAAGAGTGAGAGTGAGAGTGAGAGTGAGAGTGAGAGTGAGAGTGAGAGTGAGAGTGAGAGTGAGAGTGAGAGTGAGAGTGAGAGTGAGAGTGAGAGTGAGAGTGAGAGTGAGAGTGAGAGTGAGAGTGAGAGTGAGAGTGAGAGTGAGAGTGAGAGTGAGAGTGAGAGTGAGAGTGAGAGTGAGAGTGAGAGTGAGAGTGAGAGTGAGAGTGAGAGTGAGAGTGAGAGTGAGAGTGAGAGTGAGAGTGAGAGTGAGAGTGAGAGTGAGAGTGAGAGTGAGAGTGAGAGTGAGAGTGAGAGTGAGAGTGAGAGTGAGAGTGAGAGTGAGAGTGAGAGTGAGAGTGAGAGTGAGAGTGAGAGTGAGAGTGAGAGTGAGAGTGAGAGTGAGAGTGAGAGTGAGAGTGAGAGTGAGAGTGAGAGTGAGAGTGAGAGTGAGAGTGAGGTGGGAGAGGTGGATTAAAAGACCTGTAAAATAAAAAATACCTACCTGTAAGAGTCTATATCATAAACAGAACAAAAGTAGTCCGCGCTAAACTCGTTGAACTCTTTTGGAATAGTCAGGGTCGATCTCTGAAAATATCAAAATCTAGTAAATCCATTTTATCTCAATCTAATCATGGGCATTGAACATAAATCCTCAATAACCCGTGATTATTTCAAACATGCAAATTTAGTAAAAGACCACGAATCGTACTAAACGAAACAGAAAAGATGATCATGATAAAAGGAAAAGAAAGTGCCTGGTTTGATATGGATATAACACAGGATCCCGAGAAGGTAACCATAGTAACACGTTACCTATGTAACACGTTACCTATGTAACACGTTACCTATGTAACACGTTACCTATGTAACACGTTACCTATGTAACACGTTACCTAGGTAACACGTTACCTATGTAACACGTTACCTATGTAACACGTTACCTATGTAACACGTTACCTATGTAACACGTTACCTATGTAACACGTTACCTATGTAGCACGTTACCTATGTAACACGTTACCTGGCGTTTTTGATATGCATCAAAGGTGGTAAGAACGATGAAATTTCCACTTTTCTCTGATGTCAGCTTCTCTCCTCCCTTCCCTTGACTCCAATACACGTCTAGTTCATTCTGCATCTCTTTGAAGAGACAAGAGAGTTTCACTTCTGTGTAGGAACGGACATCCTTGTACGTCCGGGAAACACTGAGAACGTTTAAAATTTATTTCAAATTGAAAATAGAACAGGTCTGAGACTAGGAACCGTCAAATAGAAACGGTCAGATCATCTCCCTCACAGACTTACCACCGTCTGTTGGGCCGCCAGCACGGTGCTTAGCGACCAGTACCATAGAGTCACACAGACTCTAACGGTCAGTTACTTTAGCTACCAGCTGGCGGCACCCCTTTGCTCTCGTTTTAGCTTTCACTGTTTTTGATAGAGGGAGATGATCCAACTTACCGCTCACCTCGATCCTGCCCGACCCACCATTGTCGCTCTTATTATACTAATGACTTGCATCCAATTGTATAATTGATGGACGCCATTAACCCCTTCAATACACAGGACAATACGTTCACAAGAACAAAGACCTTCCCTATAGCCACAAAGACTGGATATCCACGTCCAACCGCAATAAAGAAGAAGAGAAGAACACCCAACACTCAGGATCACCTTACTCTTCGGCCTGTGGAGGGGCCCCGGTTTGTCCCTCCTTAATACTATCTATATTCTTTTATTATTGTTACTATTTTTTCCATATTATTTTCTATACCCAGTCGACTCAGTATGTTTTGGTCCGGGCCTTGCTTGTTGGCCCTGCCATGGCTCTCTAGCTTGGGCAGGTTTGACTTATTTATACATACGTAACCTAGGTAAGACGTTACTTGGCGTTTTTATATATAGAAACAGTTAGCTTTCTGAGGATAACCATACCGCGGGTTTTATAATAGCTATCCTAATACCGTATAGCCAGCAAATAACTAAGATATCACATGATTAAATTTAATAGTTCTGACCTGAAGACGTCCACACTGAGGAGTAGTGTCCATTCTCCCTCTTCTGGTAGCTTGATACCACACGTGTAGCCCCTGTCCACTGAGTTACCTTTACCTGTGGCATTGTATTGTAACATTTGGTATTATATATAACATATCTAACTGTAACATGTGGCATATCTAACTGTGACATGTGGCATTGTATTGTAACATACGGTATTATATATAACATATCTAACTGTGACATGTGGCATTGTATTGTAACATACGATACTATATATAACATATCTAACTGTGACATGTGGCATTGTATTGTAACATACGGTATTATATATAACATATCTAACTGTGACATGTGGCATTGTATTGTAACATACGGTATTATATATAACATATCTAACTGTGACATGTGGCATTGTATTGTAACATACGGTATTATATATAACATATCTAACTGTGACATTTGGCATTGTATTGTAACATACGGTACTATATATAACATATCTAACTGTGACAAATGGCATATTTAACTGTGACATGTGGCATTGTATTGTAACATACGGTACTATATATAACATATCTAACTGTGACATGTGGCATATTTAACTGTGACATGTGGCATTGTATTGTAACATACGGTATTATATATAACATATCTAACTGTGACATGTGGCATTGTATTGTAACATACGGTATTATATATAACATATCTAACTGTGACATGTGGCATTGTATTGTAACATACGGTATTATATATAACATATCTAACTGTGACATGTGGCATTGTATTGTAACATACGGTATTATATATAACATATCTAACTGTGACATTTGGCATTGTATTGTAACATACGGTACTATATATAACATATCTAACTGTGACAAATGGCATATTTAACTGTGACATGTGGCATTGTATTGTAACATACGGTACTATATATAACATATCTAACTGTGACATGTGGCATATTTAACTGTGACATGTGGCATTGTATTGTAACATACGGTATTATATATAACATATCTAACTGTGATATGTGGCATATCTAACTGTGACATGTGGCATTGTATTGTAACATACGGTATTATATATAACATATCTAACTGTGACATGTGGCATATCTAACTGTGACATGTGGCATTGTATTGTAACATATGGTACTATATATAACATATATAACTGTGACATGTGGCATTGTATTGTAACATACGGTATTATATATAACATATCTAACTGTGACATGTGGCATATCTAACTGTAATATGTGGCATTGTATTGTAACATACGGTACTATATATATATAACATATATAACTGTGACATGTGGCATTGTATTGTAACATACGGTATTATATATAACATATCTAACTGTGACATGTGGCATTGTATTGTAACATACGGTATTATATATAACATATCTAACTGTGACATGTGGCATTGTATTGTAACATACGGTATTATATATAACATATCTAACTGTGACATTTGGCATTGTATTGTAACATACGGTACTATATATAACATATCTAACTGTGACATGTGGCATATTTAACTGTGACATGTGGCATTGTATTGTAACATACGGTACTATATATAACATATCTAACTGTGACATGTGGCATATTTAACTGTGACATGTGGCATTGTATTGTAACATACGGTATTATATATAACATATATAACTGTGACATGTGGCATATCTAACTGTGACATGTGGCATTGTATTGTAACATACGGTATTATATATAACATATCTAACTGTGATATGTGGCATATCTAACTGTGACATGTGGCATTGTATTGTAACATACGGTATTATATATAACATATCTAACTGTGACATGTGGCATATCTAACTGTGACATGTGGCATTGTATTGTAACATATGGTACTATATATAACATATATAACTTTGACATGTGGCATTGTATTGTAACATACGGTATTATATATAACATATCTAACTGTGACATGTGGCATATCTAACTGTAATATGTGCCATTGTATTGTAACATACGGTACTATATATATAACATATCTAACTGTGACATGTGGCATTGTATTGTAACATACGGTATTATATATAACATATCTAACTGTGACATTTGGCATTGTATTGTAACATACGGTACTATATATAACATATCTAACTGTGACATGTGGCATATTTAACTGTGACATGTGGCATTGTATTGTAACATACGGTATTATATATAACATATCTAACTGTGACATGTGGCATATATAACTGTGACATGTGGCATTGTATTGTAACATACGGTATTATATATAACATATCTAACTGTGATATGTGGCATATCTAACTGTGACATGTGGCATTGTATTGTAACATACGGTATTATATATAACATATCTAACTGTGACATGTGGCATATCTAACTGTGACATGTGGCATTGTATTGTAACATATGGTACTATATATAACATATATAACTGTGACATGTGGCATTGTATTGTAACATACGGTATTATATATAACATATCTAACTGTGACATGTGGCATATCTAACTGTAATATGTGGCATTGTATTGTAACATACGGTACTATATATATATAACATATATAACTGTGACATGTGGCATATCTAACTGTGACATGTGGCATTGTATTGTAACATACAGTATTATATAACATATCTATAAACTGTGACATGTGGCATATCTAACTGTGACATGTGGCATTGTATTGTAACATACGGTATTATATATAACATATCTAACTGTGACATGTGGCATTGTATTGTAACATACGGTATTATATATAACTATCTAACTGTGACATGTGGCATATCTAACTGTAACATGTGGCATTGTATTGTAACAAACGGTACTATATATAACATATCTAACTGTGACATGTGGCATATCTAACTGTGACATGTGGCATTGTATTGTAACATACGGTATTATATATAACTATCTAACTGTGACATGTGGCATATCTAACTGTGACATGTGGCATTGTATTGTAACAAACGGTACTATATATAACATATCTAACTGTGACATGTGGCATATCTAACTGTGACATGTGGCATTGTATTGTAACATACGGTACTATATATAACATATCTAACTGTGACATGTGGCATATTTAACTGTGACATGTGGCATTGTATTGTAACATACGGTATTATATATAACATATATAACTGTGACATGTGGCATATCTAACTGTGACATGTGGCATTGTATTGTAACATACGGTACTATATATAACATATCTAACTGTGACATGTGGCATATATAACTGTGACATGTGGCATTGTATTGTAACATACGGTATTATATATAACATATCTAACTGTGATATGTGGCATATCTAACTGTGACATGTGGCATTGTATTGTAACATACGGTATTATATATAACATATCTAACTGTGACATGTGGCATATCTAACTGTGACATTTGGCATTGTATTGTAACATATGGTACTATATATAACATATATAACTGTGACATGTGGCATTGTATTGTAACATACGGTATTATATATAACATATCTAACTGTGACATGTGGCATTGTATTGTAACATACGGTATTATATATAACATATCTAACTGTGACATGTGGCATTGTATTGTAACATACGGTATTATATATAACTATCTAACTGTGACATGTGGCATATCTAACTGTGACATGTGGCATTGTATTGTAACATACGGTATTATATATAACTATCTAACTGTGACATGTGGCATATCTAACTGTGACATGTGGCATTGTATTGTAACAAACGGTACTATATATAACATATCTAACTGTGACATGTGGCATATCTAACTGTGACATGTGGCATTGTATTGTAACATACGGTACTATATATAACATATCTAACTGTGACATGTGACATTGTATTGTAACATACGGTATTATATATAACTATCTAACTGTGACATGTGGCATATCTAACTGTGACATGTGGCATTGTATTGTAACATACGGTATTATATATAACATATCTAACTGTGACATTTGGCATTGTATTGTAACATACGGTATAATATATAACTATCTAACTGTGACATGTGGCATATCTAACTGTGACATGTGGCATTGTATTGTAACATACGGTACTATATATAACATATCTAACTGTGACATGTGGCATATCTAACTGTGACATGTGGCAAATTTGTATTGTAACATACGGTACTATATATAACATATCTAACTGTGACATGTGGCATATTTAACTGTGACATGTGGCATTGTATTGTAACATACGGTACTATATATAACATATCTAACTGTGACATGTGGCATATTTAACTGTGACATGTGGCATTGTATTGTAACATACGGTATTATATATAACATATATAACTGTGACATGTGGCATTGTATTGTAACATACGGTACTATATATAACATATCTAACTGTGACATGTGGCATATCTAACTGTGACATGTGGCATTGTATTGTAACATACGGTATTATATATAACATATCTAATTGTGACATGTGGCATATCTAACTGTGACATGTGGCATTGTATTGTAACATACGGTATTATATATAACATATCTAACTGTGACATGTGGCATATCTAACTGTGACATGTGGCATTGTATTGTAACATATGGTACTATATATAACATATATAACTGTGACATGTGGCATTGTATTGTAACATACGGTATTATATATAGCATATCTAACTGTGACATGTGGCATATCTAACTGTGATATATGGCACTGTATTGTAACATACGGTACTATATATATCATATATAACTGTGACATGTGGCATATCTAACTATGACATGTGGCATTGTATTGTAACATACGGTATTATATATAACATTTCTATAAACTGTGACATGTGGCATATCTAACTGTGACATGTGGCATTGTATTGTAACATACGGTATTATATATAACATATCTAACTGTGACATTTGGCATTGTATTGTAACATACGGTATTATATATATAACTATCTATTTGTGACATGTGGCATATCTAACTGTGACATGTGGCATTGTATTGTAACATACGGTACTATATATAACATATATAACTGTGGCATGTGGCATTGTATTGTAACATACGGTACTATATATAACATATCTAACTGTGACATGTGGCAAATCTAACTGTGACATGTGGCATTGCATTGTAACATGCGGTACTATATATAACATATCTAACTGTGACATGTGACAAATCTAACTGTGACATGTGGCATTGTATTGTAACATACGGTACTATATATATAACATATCTAACTCTGACATGTGGCAAATCTGACTGTGACATGTGGCATTGCATTGTAACATACGGTACTATATATAACATATCTAACTGTGACATGTGGCAACATATAGTAATAGTAACCCTGGCAACATCATACTTAATATTGATAGTCAGTATTTGTAAATCAGCATATATTGGTTTCTTTTGAGCTTTAAATCTACCAAAAAGAATTCGACACTTATTATTCAACACTTAAACTTTGACATTAAAAATGCTCATTTCGCAACAGTTAAAACCCATTACCAGCTACAGTAAGAGTAGAAGCTAATGCCCGACTAGTCGGGGTGAACATCTCATAACCAGAATTCTCCTCATCAATCCTGAACACGTGGTCCGCGTCACGTGTTGTTGGATCATCTATCTCTCCGTCAGTGCACGTGGGCGCTGCTGGGTCGGATTGAACTTTACTGCAGCGTTTTATATTGTTTACTTTCCAGAACACCTGTCGAAGTTTACAACGTTAGAAATATAATTATTGGTGTTTTTGATATTTTGCGTAAGCTAAAAAGATTTACTTTCACAGATTAAATTTAAAAGTAAGAAGTGTAATATATTAAGGATGGAATTTTTTATTTTTAACTTTTTAACTGAGCTTATTTTTAATATACCACTCAAAACTTTGACCTCCACTAACCTCACTAACCTCACTAACCTCACTAACTTCACTAACCTCACTAACCTCACTAACTTCACTAACCTCACTAACCTCACTAACCTCACTAACCTGACTAACCTCACTAACCTGACTAACCTGACTAACCTCACTAACCTCCACTAACCTCACTAACCTCCACTAACCTCACTAACCTCACTAACCTCACTAACCTCCACTAACCTCACTAACTTGACCTCCACTAACCTCCACTAACCTCACTAACCTCACTAACCTGACTAACTTCACTAACCTGACTAACCTGACTAACCTCACTAACCTCACTATCCTCACTCACCTCACTAACCTCACTAACCTCACTAACCTCACTAACCTCACTAACCTCACTAACCTCACTAACCTCACTAACCTCACTAACCTCACTAACCTCACTAACCTCACTAACCTCACTAACCTCACTAACCTCACTAACCTCACTAACCTCACTAACCTCACTAACCTCACTAACCTCACTAACCTCACTAACCTCACTAACCTCACTAACCTCACTAACTTGACCTCCACTAACCTCAACTGGTTTAGTTGTGACGAAGACAAAGGAGCACTTCAAAGTAACATCAGTGTCTTTGATAGCGACCCTACTGTGTCCTTGTATATCTGACAATTAGTTGCAGTGAGTTTTTATCGGAGAATTTAATCCACATTATAGTCATAACCTTTTTTTTCTTATAGGTATGAAAAAATGTGATAATAAACCACGATTGACTTCCCTCTGAAGAAAGACCACATGTTCCTTTAATGTGCTAGCTAATTAATGATTATTAGGATCCAAACTTGAAGTTAGTTTTATGATTCCGTGGCGACACATATTGTATATTATGTTAAAATGGTCGGGTATGGGACCATTTTAAAGTTTCAATACAATTATAATATTAATACTTTGTCGGTGATTTAGTAAGAACAAAGTGTCGCAGTAACTATGGTAACTTGTGGTAGCTATGGTAACTAACGCGATAGGTATAATACATTGCCTGTTTGTTAGCCTCATGGGTTATTATTTAATACTGTTATATATTACTAGGATAAATACAAGATATATTGCTATTATTAAAAGGATTTTATTATTTATATGCTTATTCTGTTTCGGTTTTGACCGTTTGTTAGACTGTGGCGTTTATCGGGGACGACCTTCATTAGAAAGCTACCTTCAGAGAGGGTGGTCTGAATATTTGAATTTTAAAACATTTGTGTTAATTAAAAAATATAACTACTCAACTTTTGATTCTCGCGTAGAAAACTTTGAACTAAAATATTAAACTTTACTTAGTGACTCGTTAAATACCATCATTGAAATACCATCATTGAGTCTTCTAAATTCTCCTATATAAGGATGTCAGAGCCGAGTATCCCTGTTGTTTGGACGCAAAACGATAACACCACCACATCCTTTCACACCACATACTCTACCTACACCTACAGTTACACTTCCGAACATGCAGGATCTGCCGGACATCCCCAACACCCGATAGGAGAAATAGGCGACACCCCCGGAAACAGAGAGAGACTCCTCTGGATCATATTCCACGTGATATTCGTATCCTTCTCTCTCATTGGGGACTCCATTATCTTAATAGGAGCCACAAGGTTTAAAGCTATAAAGCTGCACCGTGTTATAGTGGTGGTTATTCAGCATCTAGCGGTTAGTGACCTCATGCAGACAGTCTTCAAGATGATCCCTACTATTGTTAGTTTAGTGGCTGCAGATGGGTGGGTGATGGGAAAGTTCCTGTGTTTGGTGACCCAGGAGGTTATCTTTATTTGCACGCCTGCTACGTATATGTTGACTTGTATTCTGTCTACTTTTAAGCTGTTGATCGTTCAGTTTCCTCTGCGGACCCGGACATGGTCTAAGAAGAGATCCCATGTTATTTGCATCATTTTCTGGCTTATATGTGCGTTTATACTGCCTAATCAGCTGCTTTTCATGATGTTCGTGAACATGAAATCCCTTTATTTTCACTACGACTACTACATCTGCATGTATATTCTTCCTCACGCTGACCGCAAACGTTTGCCACCTGGATTCATAATGTTTACAAAAGTGTTAGCTTACTTCATACCAGTCGTTGTTCTATTCATTCTCGTAACAACGTCCATTCTTATGCTCTACAAAGCTAAACAATCTGCTGTAAGACACGGCCGACCTGTTCGTTGGCATGGAATCCTGACTGTCACCATAACGACTGTAATATTCCTGGTGTCCCATCTTCCAGACATGGTTCTCATCTTGGTGCACGGGTCATCAGTACAACCCAGCAGCTCTGTTAAACGTGCTGTTACCTTCTGTTTAAACATTAACATCGTGGCTAACGTGTTCGTGTACTATCTAACTGTGAGGAGCTTTAGAGAGTTCCTCTCCACTAAACTCAGACAGCTGGCTCTAAAGTTGGGCTTATCTTCTCCTGTAACACCGCGAGCTGTCCGTCAGGTAATGTTACAGCGTTGTCAAGAGACCAGCGTTGTTTAGGTGACCAGTGTGGTCTAGGTGACCAGTGTGGTCAAGGTGATCAGTGTGATCAAGGTGACCAGTGTGGTCTATGTGACCAGCGTGGTCTAGGTGACCCACTGGGAGACTTTGGGGCCGAAAACTGATCCGGCCCCCAAAGAGGAGTCAGATCACGTCACCAATTAGTGACGTATAATTAGTGATGTGATCCATCTGTAGAATTTAATTGGCCCAGAAATAGGCTAGATACTGGGTAGAGTTCACATGTCAATTCTGTACAACATAGCTGTTCATTAAGAAGTAAACATGATCTGACTGCTCGACTCGTAGATCACATAAGGGTCGGGAGCTCTTGCTAAAGGGGGGTTCTCGTATCAAGGGATGTGAGACGTACGTGTCAAAGGCTTGCAAGGGGAGTGAGCCGATCTAGTGTTCTAGGTATAAATATTGGGTGATAGAAGGTAGTAGTATCGCATTTAATTCTATCAACAGTCATGCCTACCTTCTCCAAGTTCCTCAACGGTTTCAGAGGATGTAAACAGGTGCTTGATTCTGACGGATATATCTACAGCCGCAAGAAAAATGATGACACCGTCCTCTCCTCTGCTTGGCGTTGCCAGAAGAACAAATCCCTTAAATGTCCTGCCAAGTGCTATCTCGCTCTCACAGACAACAATCTTTCCCTTGGAAGTAAACCACACAACCACGATTCAGATCTGGCTACCCCACAGAGACTCGAACTCCTTACAACGCTCAAGAGGAAGGCTGCAGAACAACCCCTGTCGGCGACTCAGAACCTGATATCAGAAGTCCTTGCTGATGCTTCAAGGATGCTACACGACATACCCAACAAAGATTGAGTACTTGTTCGCTGTTGCGAAATACTTTGGTAATAATATTGAGTAATTTGTTGTATTCTGAAGTATTATATTATTAATCGATTTAACATTTTATAACCAGTCAATACATTGTCTCAATTTAAAACATGTTCACTTCTTAATTTGTAGCTTCTGTGTGCAGAGTTGTCATATGAACTTTACCCCAGATCTAGCCCATTTCTAGGTCAATTATATTCAATCCATGGATCACATCACTAATTATACGCTAATACGTTAATTTCATTTCTTATTGTGTAATTCGAGGATATAAAATACAACTAGAAAGTGGATTTATTTATTGGAGGGCTGGTAAAAGATTATGGCCTTTCTATCAATAGTTATCAGACTGGAGTTACTGGCCAATTAAATTATCATGTGAACAATTAAGTGATTGGAAAATTTGCTTACTAGACAAACATTAACAATCGAATAGAAAGGACAGATCATTATTAACAACGTTTACATTAATAATCAATGCCGGTAAGCTCATTAGATTAGTGTATACGTGGTAAAAGTTAAAATTAGCAAATCTATGAGACTTACTGGCTTAGTAACCTTCCAGCAAGAGAAGTTCGAAACAAAAAGCTTTTGTTAACGAAGTAGCCTACATATGTGTATAACTGAATAACTTGATGAGGTACATTTTGAGATATATCGGTATTCTGAGTGGAGTTCGAGATTGGGTGGCCTTAAAAGTTTGGTTGGTGGTGGTAAGCGAAGAAACCTTACCGTATACTCGTAGTTCTAGTTTGGTTGGCGGTGGTAAGCGAAGAAACCTTACCGTATACTCGTAGTTCTAGTTTGGTTGGTGGTGGTAAGCGACGAGAGTCCACTGCTCCAGCTCCCACCTCGCACTTGAAGGAGGTTGTGGATACGACTTTGTTGGCGTGGATTATCAGTATTCCTGACAAAACATGATATTACATTCTCACATTTTAATAGACCTTAATTAAAGCCGTCATTACTATAATATTTCTGTCTATTTAAGTAAAAATTGACCATCGTTGAAAGCTAGCTAGAAAGATGTACTGTTTGAATTTTGATCAGCTCTCAATTCTCATCTCAGAAAGATTTGAACCTAATAATAATATTACATACGCTGTAAGAAGATGACGATCAGACCTCGTTACATACGTTAAATATATAAAGTTAACCTTGTTGAGAGTTTGTAGCTTCGTCAAAATCTTCAGTTTTCTGAGTGTAAGCATCTTTAGAAGCGTAACCGTAAACTCCAACCTTGGCACCGTCCGCATCTGTCCACAAAATCTCCAACTGCCCTTCCAACTTTCTGGTTTATCAATAGATTTAAAATATCTTGTTCTGTAATTAAGCATGCACTCGAGTGTAATGTGTATTTATATTGATGTTTACATTTAATGTTTAATCTCATACCGAACTTTGAAGCTAAAAATAAATCAAAATAGTACGACAAAAGCTATATTGAATCAGTAACTCACTCATATTTGCAAGTAAGAGTAGCAGCTACCCCCCTCCTTGCCACTGCAGCAGTTCCAACTATTACGAGGGGGTCATTTCCGTATTTTGCTGAGGCCGGGTCGGTTGGTCCTTCATTCCCCTCTCCAGCTCCCACCACTGCAACAGTTACTAATTATTTAATTGGTTAATTAGTAATTGACAGATCCCCGATCAATGACAACTACGTAAAATTATCAACTTATACAGTTATAGGAGTTTAGGAGTACATACAGATTTTAATGAAACTTTTAGAACTTTTATTTTAGAGAATTGCAGTCCCAGTACACTTGAAGTAAAAGAAAATAACTACATACATTTGCTTAATTCTCTTAGACCTTTTGGCCTTAATACTGTCAATCCCTTTGGATTACCTATATTCCATAAACCTTAATATGATCTTTTTACCTTTTTCGGATTCTTAATTTTGTAACGGTTTGAGTTTCACTAACCTTTTAACATTTTTTAGGTTCAATGTCACTGGAGATGACTACAATCGAAATATATTTGGCAAGAATCTGAATGTTTTCAGTGTTGAAAGTTTAGTTTCTTAAATCCTGGAGTAGTCATTCGTGTCCCTGATATTTGGGTTAATTCTAACTCTCCTATCTTTAATCCCTCGCGGAACTACATGGAACCTTATGATGTCAAGTATGAATATTTCTGATGACACTGGTATATCCCAACCCAGTGTGCCTCCCACGAAATCGCCTAGTTTACTAAGTAAGCACTACGGGGAATATTCAGACCTTGGAAAACTCCAGATTGAGAAAATGAGACTCACCTTCCTCAGAAATTGCACTACTCTCAAAAGGCCCCCTGTTTCCCTTAGAATTAAGGGTTCACAGGCGCTGAATTCCCATCCTCAGAGGCTACTTTATTTTTCACACCTCGAAAGTAAAATGCTTGGACTTGCAATCACTAGAAAAGTCAACATCGTCAGGATCTTGTCAGAGAAAGTGAGCAAATCCCATTTTAACCTTGAACCACTCCCTGGAAAGGATTTCAAATCCCTCCAATCACATTTCGACAATAAGCTTTCATTCCTCAAAATGCAGTGTCCTACTAAATGGAAAGCCTGGCCTAGAAAAACTAAGGATATACTCAAAAATCTGTGTGATAAGAAATCTGCAAACTTCAAAAGGAGAGACAACAAGAGACGAAGGAAAGTTGAAAACTGGCTAAAAAAGCATTAGATGGTGGTTCTGTTATAATTCTCATCGATTCACATGAAATACCTTTAGGAGCAGTTTCAGTACTCAGTAAAGGTCTTGGTTTTGTCCCTACTCCTACAGTAGATGTTCTCCAAACAAGACTTGGCATGAGACGCACCACCAACAGTATTATAAACTCTTCTAGAAGGTCAAGTGTATCAAGTAACAGCTCTACTGATATTCCAATTGATATTAGTGATGACCAACAATCAACCAGTTCTGAATTCAGACTCCCTTCAAAACTCCGAAAGAAGAACTACAACCTCCCAACACCTAGTGAAGATCGGGCAGTCAATGATATAGTCCAAAGCATGGAATCTGAGTTGGACCAAATCCTCCACACATCAGGACCACGCAAACAAAAACCCAAGAAAGAAAATCTCATACCAATCGAACAAGAAGGATTAAAATGGCTCGAAAAGAAGGTATCAGATGGAATAATAGCAATAACACCAGCCGACAAAGGAGGAAGCATCCTCATTGTTGATCCCAAGTTACTGAGAAATAAGACCCTTGAGAAACTAGAAAATCCTCAACTTTACCAGAAACTTGATTCCGACCCACTCCATACCCTCCACGGTGAACTTTTTGACACTTGGGTCGAAGGTAAGACAAGAGGCTTCATTACACCTGAAGAAGCAAAGTCTGTGATGGGTAGTTCAGACAACACAAATAAGGCAGGCACAGGCCCGACCAACAGGCCAAGTACAGCTCCTCACCATAAACCGGGAAAGAGCTACTTTTACCCCTCCTTGAAAGTGCACAAACTGAGGAAAGACCAACTTATCCCAGGAGTTGAACCGCCAGTGAGACTTATTACAGCACTTCAAGAAGGTATCAGTAAAAAGAGTGATGTGTTTGTAGCCACGAAATACTTAAGACCCCTGGAAAAAGACTTCTGCCAAGACCTCCTTACAGACACAACAGATGCATTAATTTGGCTCGACGAAATCAACTCTAATAAGCCCCAAGTTGAAAAGAAAACATATAAACCGTTTACTTTTGACTTCAAGGGCCTTTACGACTCACTCAGCCCCTCCCTTGTCATTGAAGCTCTTAAATTTGCCATGGACCAATTAAGACCCGACTGGTCTATGAACTTCAAAGCTTGGCTAATTGACTTGGTGAACCACAGCCTAAAATCATCTATAGGTTTTTTTCGAGAATGCTTGGTACAAACAAATACACGGTGTACCTACTGGAGGTTCTCTGTGTGTTCAACTGGCAAACATCGCTGTGTTTTATGTCCTTAACAAGGAAGTCTACTCAAACCCCACACTAATGGACCAAGTAGCATCTGTTAAGAGATACATTGACGACGGAGCAGGTCAGTTTACAGGTACTACCAGACAGTTTTCAGCATGGATAAAGAAGGTCAACGAAAACATCGCTCCCGATGGCCTTGAAATAGATGAATTCCAAGCAGAAAATACAGCTGAATATGTCAGTTTTCTAGATGTACAGTTTACTTTCGACCATCAAGGAGAGCTTCAAACTGATCTATACGTAAAAGAAACAGACTCCAGGTCCTACCTACATTTCAGCAGTAGTCACCCCAATCACATATTCTCAGGAATTGTATACTCCCAGTGTTTACGCCTCAGGAGGATAATCAATTCAAAGGAGAGATTAGAGACCCAGCTTAACATTCTCAAACGGGCGTTTCATGAATCAGGATACCCTAGTAAAATGGCTGACAACATAGCTAACAAAGTCCTTGGCATGGAAAGAGTGTTAGTCAGGAAGAGTACGGTCGAGCCTAATGAACAATCCCCGCTATCAGCCATACAAATCAGAGTCATCTCCAGTTATGGAAGTGACAATGACTTGGTGAATGTTGTCCAGAAATACGAAGGTCACTTGAGACGAACTCGTAGTTTTAGTGAAAGTGAGAGTCAGCAAGCCACAAACTCCACCACAGCACCGAAAGGAAAAAATAAACTGTTTCAGTTTGTGAAGAAAACGGGATCTACGCTTAGATCTCGCCTCGTTACATCTAAACAGCTTGCCTTAGGTGCTAAACATGGTAAAACTGAACCCTGTCACAGAAGAAACTGCAAGTGTTGTAAAATGATCATGAATAAGGACTCCATCACATCAAATGGCAAAAAGATCAAATCAGCCCCTGGTTGTTGCAAGACCTATAACATCATCTATCTTGTACAGTGTTCGATTTGCAAGAAAAACTATGTGGGTAGGACTATTAATAGCTTGCATAAAAGGATGGACGGACACAGGTCCAAATTTTATGAAATCGTTGATGGTAGAGCATTTGATATTACTAGTGATGAGTATAGCCTAGGAGTTCACTTGATTGACCACGGTTTAGGAGTACATACAGATTTTAATGAAACTTTTAGAACTTTTATTTTAGAGAATTGCAGTCCCAGTACACTTGAAGTAAAAGAAAATAACTACATACATTTGCTTAATTCTCTTAGACCTTTTGGCCTTAATACTGTCAATCCCTTTGGATTACCTATATTCCATAAACCTTAATATGATCTTTTTACCTTTTTCGGATTCTTAATTTTGTAACGGTTTGAGTTTCACTAACCTTTTAACATTTTTTAGGTTCAATGTCACTGGAGATGACTACAATCGAAATATATTTGGCAAGAATCTGAATGTTTTCAGTGTTGAAAGTTTAGTTTCTTAAATCCTGGAGTAGTCATTCGTGTCCCTGATATTTGGGTTAATTCTAACTCTCTTATACAGTTATAGATTTAGATACTGGTAGAGCTTTGCATTTTCAATTAGTTACACTTTCACTTTCAGTAACGAACAATAAAATCTTAGGATCACTGTTACGGTTCACCTTGCCCACCAAATCCTTAAAAGGGATTAACATTAAAAAGTAAAAGTTCTAAATTTAAGAACAAACTAACCGGCTAGTGGGAGAGCGAGACATAGGAACAATATCATTTTTACATTTCTCTTGGCTTCTGATTAACTGAATAAGAATTAACATTCATTATTCATTATTATAATTCTAAACCATTAACGTAAAACTGATTATCAACTTCCGGGTTTAAACTTAACAAGTGAACCGTTACGTTACTTTTATGCAAGTGAATTTGTATTGTTCACACTTGGTGGTAACTTTTGGTACCAAATTTATCAAAATCGGAGACTTAACATTCGATGCCAGCTCCTAGCGTTCATTATATTACACTAACACTAACAGGAAAATTGTCTACTTAAAAATTAAAATAAACTTTACATCAATGTATATTGTATTACAGTTACATTTACAAAAGACCACAATATCTCCTATGAGGCAAAAGACATGGAATATGAAAGCTAGAAAAATATTCATGATACTCAACACTACCAGACTGTAGCTGGAGTGAGAAACATTATGTAAAACATCATTGTAAAATTTATTTCGTCTGATCCAAAACACGGTGGTAGAACCATAATTACATTGGTGCCATAGCATAACAGGGATTCAGAAACTGAAATCACAAGATAGATGGCAGTAACAGAGAGTGAGTGTCAGTATTAAACAGAGAGATGAGCAGAGAGAGAGAGAGAGCAGAGAACAAGGAGGTTGAGGACATGGAGGTCTAGGGTGTATTAGTAGTAGCTAGCCCGCTCTAATGGACTCTCTCCCTAACATTAGCATTGTAAAATACATGCACACATACGGCGGCTCTCTCTCGTTATAGCTGTGGCTTATTATAGTAGTTGTTAGTGTGGATACTATGATATCAGTGTACCTACTACTACTATTATCGGTCACACTCATAATTATACTTATAGTAATAACATGTTACCTGGATCAGGTACTTGAATATATATATGAACCATTGAACCAGGGGATAATGATCAAGGAATAATAACGATAGAACTTAAGGCTGCTCGTAAATAAACACTTGATCTTGATGAAGAATTTGTGCTTCGTTTAACTAATAGGACTCGAGTACGATGGGCTTTAGATTTTGCTGTGAGCACAATTTATAAATTCTTTTGAGTAGGTAATATTGAAGTATAAATTCTGTTTTGAAATTTACGATCTCGAGCCTTCTCAACCTTCTATTGGACCCTGAGAGAAATGAAACTCGTTGTTCAACTTTATAGATTTAAAGTACACAAATGATCATTACAGAAACTAATGAATATATTGAAACGAATATTTAATTATGAAAATTTGAAGATGGAAGAATAAATTATGAAACAATAAACATGTAGAAATGAACATCGAAGCATCGAATAAATCGAACATCAGCAAATTTCCTGACATAACTGATAACATTTTTGTAATAAATCTGTCATTAAAAAACTTATTTAAGTTTTCATTAAAAATTGAATTATTTTCTAAGAAATTCAGCAAGTGTTAATTCAATTTTAACAATAAAATCATTCAAACACACTACATATGTCAAACAATAAAAACATCATGCACTTAATCATGCAAAATTTGAGTACATTTTCCAAAAAAATACGAATACAGTAGTAGTACTAGTAAAGTAGTAAATCATGATAAACTTATGAAAATAGTGCAATTTGCTGCTACTTTTAATAGGTATAACTATAATTCTCTACAAATTTGTACGATAATAATAAATTAATTTTCAAAATCATATCCAATACTAAGTTTACAAATGTATTAATCCGGTGTAATCCAATGTCTCAACCTCTCCTGCCAAAAGTTTTACAAAATATAATCATTAAAACATATACATGAAGTCAGAGAGGTTCCCTCTTCTACCAGTACCCTAAGGACCGTTCACATATTAACTTAACACTTCTCCTGACTACTAAAGACACCCTCCCTCCTAGCTTGCTCCTTCATTACTCATTAGGATATTCGTGTGATAAATTAAAACGTGAACTAGAGAAGTCAGTTTAACCACTATTCACTCATTCGTAGTGTTCTTTAGTCGCCCTCCCCCTGGCCCTTAGTAATAAAGTAAAACGTTATCTATTCTTTAGGAGGGTTGAGGTCTACTTCTACTGGCTTTATGTCCCATATCTCATCAGCATACTGCCTGAAGTTACAATTAATTATTTAATTAGTTATTAATTATGTTACAATTAGTTATTAATTAGTTATTAATTATGATTAATGTACTTAAAATACCTAGCGACGGTGGTGAACAAGTTAACTGTTATCATCTGGTCAACAGTAAACAAAAGCAATAAAACAAATTTTAAAAACAACTAAATCAAAAACCAATTAATCAATTATTAATTAATTAACGTAGCAACTGACTTGATGGTTCTATCGCTGGAGAACTTTCCCGCACTAGCAATGTTGTAAAGACATTTCTCAGTCCACTTGATCCAGTCCATGTAGAGCTCACTAACTTCCTCCTGGACTTTCAGGTAGCTCTCGTAGTCCGCTATCACACAGAACCTGTATTTAATTAGTTTTAATCACTTAATTAGTTATTGTTAACCAATTAGCTACCGACAAAGTACGTAATTTGTTTGTAGAGCTCTTCAATAAATATACGGCAGAAAATTAAAAGGATTGATACCCTTTTTGGTGATATCAATTCTCCCACCACTATCTAATAAAGTACCTGTCATTATCTAATAAAGTACCTGTCATTATCTAATAAAAGTACCTGTCATTATCTAATAAAAGTACCTGTCATTGGAGATAAGCTGTTCCGCAAAGTCCCTGAACTTGTGCGGTTCAGCAGGGTTAAAGTACCCTGTACTTATTTGGGACAGTGCCAGCTGCAGCTCCGGCAGACGGGCTAGGTAACGTCGTGTTTCATATCTGTACGGGGGTTGTTGCTTTTAGATTCTGGTGGTATTGTATCTTACGTACTGTGAGTATGTGCTCACTCTACCTTTGCAGCTTGCAAACAAATTGTTTGGCTGTGGAATATTTACCCGACCCTAAAACCACGATGAACCAGCTTTCGCGACGGAAGTTCTAGCATCTTTAAATTAGAGACCTACCCTTGATCCCAGAGTTGTTGCACCTCGTCCACCTTCATACCAAAGATAAATATATTATCTTCTCCCATCTCCTCTGCCATCTCAACATTAGCCCCGTCCAGAGTTCCTATAGTCAGCGCCCCGTTCAACTAAAGGGCGAAAATACGCTTGGTTAGGATTATCTGTAGAGCATAGGAAAAAGTGTCTCCGATTTGGATTCATTCGAGGCCACGTTTGGACGACCTTATATCATAGCATAGAAACAACTCTCACAAAGAAGCGAGATGCTACTCACCATGAACTTCATGTTTCCTGTTCCGGACGCTTCTGTCCCAGCCAAACTAGTCTGCTCCGAAAGATCGGCTGCTGGCATTATAATCTCTGCTAGAGAGCACTAAGGAATATTAGAATTAGGTTATAGAAATAATTTCCACGAGCTTTATTTATGTATGTTACTTATCTTATCGCTGAGAAACAATTCATCGTTCATTTTGTTGGATTGTAGGGTTAGTCAATCAAACCACCACCTCAAATGTTATAACATTGTAATAAAATTGTTAGCATTGTTATAACGTACCCTGTAGTTAGCGAGGAACACTACTTTGAGCTTGTCTCCGATGATTGGATCATTGTTAACCACATTTGCAAGGTGGCAGATCAGTGATACTATCTGTTTAGCTGTTTGGTATCCTGGAGCTGCCTGAAATAGTTGGGGTTCATTTTTGACTGATTGATGATTATCTGGATGTTTAGTAATAGCCGATAAAAAGATGTGGTTTCTGGTGGTTGACGCGTGACAATGAAAAAGTTAAATAACGTAGAAGTATTTTATGCTAACCTTGCCGCCGAAGAAAATAGTTCGAGGAACGAACTCCAAGTTAGGATTACTCTTAATCCGGTTGTAGAGGGTAATGACGTGGAGTAGGTTGAGGGTTTGACGCTTGTACTCGTGGATTCTCTTTACCTGCAAGGAGATTGATTGGGTGTTATCACGTGACTAGAATAGTATAATACAGATTGGTGAATTGTGATGTGTTGATCGCTAGTTCTCGTGCATCGTCTTCCGTAACAAGCGTTTAAGCCTCCTTTTGGAACAAGATTCATATAGTTCACAACCTTTGAATCCCGAATCATGGGACTCTAATTCTTATTGTCACGTACCAGCGTACTCACGTACTTCGGTATGATTATTATGACATGCGCGCAGATCGGACTATATAATGCGCGTTTTGCGCGGCGTGTTCTGCACAGAAATGATATGGCGTTCGCGCCCGCCGTCAAGACACTACTCAAAATCCGTGTTCGAGGATAATCATGCCGGCTGGCAATGTAGCTGGTAGCAGCTGGGATATTATAGGACATAACATCAGGTCATATCACGTAACGAATTAACAATAATACGGTGGTTTTTACCTGGATATCAAACATGCTTCCTGTATTCAGAGTTATCCCATAGTTGTCAGCTACATATTTAACAATAATACGGTGGTTTTTACCTGGATATCAAACATGCTCCCTGTATTCAGAGTTATCCCATAGTTGTTAGCTACATATTTAACAATAATACGGTGGTTTTTACCTGGATATCAAACATGCTCCCTGTATTCAGAGTTATCCCATAGTTGTCAGCTACATATTTAACAATAATACGGTGGTTTTTACCTGGATATCAAACATGCTCCCTGTATTCAGAGTTATCCCATAGTTGTTAGCTACATATTTAACAATAATACGGTGGTTTTTACCTGGATATCAAACATGCTCCCTGTATTCAGAGTTATCCCATAGTTGTCAGCTACATATTTAACAATAATACGGTGGTTTTTACCTGGATATCAAACATGCTCCCTGTATTCAGAGTTATCCCATAGTTGTTAGCTACATATTTAACAATAATACGGTGGTTTTTACCTGGATATCAAACATGCTCCCTGTATTCAGAGTTATGCCATAGTTGTCAGCTACATATTGGGCTAGCCTCCTCTTGTTTCCTTGTTTTGTCTTGAATACCTTGAAGTAAAACGTGTTTATATCAACTACTTTCAATTCTCAAATAGTTTAAATTATTTTTCTTGGGTAAATTTCTATTGATCCCGTTTAAATTCTCAATGTAGAATCCCTGAGAATCCTCGAGAATCTTCTCGAAAGTTGATAGCGGCAAATTTGTCAACAAAAGCAAGTCCAAAAATATATAAGAAAATGTAGAATACTGGTGACGAATCAAACTTTCGAGTACTCGAGGAGGATCACACTCAAACACACACCAATGTCAATTCAGAAATTGTAAATAAAGCTAACCTCTTGTAAGAATGTTTTGTCTGTAACAAATTCCTTGAGTTTTTCCAGCTGATATAAATTGGTCGGCCAGGCGTCACCTGACAAGTTATGCGATAAATCAGAGCCAGAACAGAACAGAAATGGAAATCACTAAAAGCCAGTATCACATATAATAAACTACATACGTGTATGTATGAAGAAAGTAACGAAAGTGATACATGTTCATGTGTTCATGTGTTCAGGAATTAGTAACCCAAGTACACACACTCTGTACCTATTTTCTCTGTAATTAGATGAGAAAGAGAGGGGTTACACTGGACTAGCCATCTCCTCGGTGTGATTCCGTTCGTTTTGTTCTGGAACTTTCCAGGTGTCAGCTCGTAGAAATCTTTAAATCTGGTGGGGTTAGGAGATTAAAATCGGGGGAATTTAATTTTAAGAATGTTAATTCTTAAAATTTGAATGGATTAGCTACGTAGTTTATTCAAAACATTATCAACTCTGATTGAATCTCTTTAGTAATTAGTAATGAAAACTTCATATTCTCCTTTTCAGGATGAGTTATGTCGAATACACCGGAGGATTAATACACAGATTAAATACTGATCTTTTCTAACAACTAACTAAAATAACCTCTTATCGGGACAAGATTCTGGGCCCGAAAAGTGTTTAGTCTTTACAATTAATTAACGAAAACTATCCATATCAAGGAAACATTCTTAGGTTATTAGCTAATTCAGAAAGCACCTATTCTCTTCTTGACTGCTTTTTACGGTCTGCTGATTCATAAGAACATAACATTTCCGTTAGACTAAATGTTACCAAATGTCGTTGTTGTGACTGATGACGATGTTTCAACAATTCATTGACAAATTAAAGCAAGAGCAGATAAGGAGGAGAGTGTCTGTGAAGCGTGTTTGTGCTAGTGAATAGAGCTGGTATGAACTTAACTAAACTCATTTGGTCCAATATTTAATCCAATATTTAATCCAATATTTGGTCCACAATTTTTTATATCATTCGGTCCGTTATTTGGTCCACTATTTGGTCCACTATTTGATCTACTATTTGATCTACTATTTGGTCCACAATACAGTCCAGTATACTCACAGAGATGTAACGAGGAGCCCACTGTGGATCGCCGCCACCCCGTTAACAGTGTGACAGCTAACCACCGACAAGTAAGCCATGTTTATCCTCTTTTCTCCTGAGGTTAATTGGATAATTAGTTAATCGGTCACTGATTAGTTTCTTGACATATTAATTTATTTGTTAATAAATAAGTGCAAATCTTTCCTACTCCAAAGCCAGGGCATGTTAGGTAAGTTATCAAATTATGGTAAATCTTCATCCATTTCATTTTGATCAATTTCATTTTGATCCATTTCGTCACCTTTATGTTTATGAGTATTGCTGAAAGCACAGTGTAAGGCCTACACGGACCGCCTCTAACTAGCCAATCCCTGTTTACATGCCGTGTAGCAGGGGACTAGAAAGAGCTAAACTAGTAAGCGGGGCATATGTTATTTGACTTAAATAGATAAACAAATTAATTAATCACCATTTTCTTCAACAATTGACATTCTACTAATCCTCTCATTATCGCCAGGGAATTTAGCTCTCACTTCCTGCAACGAACAATACTTCAATAATAATATGTAATAGTAGTTTAATGATAAGGAAAATATAAAAATTTAAAGCGCGACCAGTTCCACTTGTCCATTTGAATTTGAACATAATGTAATAATATTATGTACAATTACATAAAATGATAATAACTGGCTAACACTATGCATACCAGCATACGTATCAATAATTAATGTATAATTAACCTCCAACTACTGAATAATAAACCACCAATAACAACTATACCTCCAGATGATAATGGTTGATAAGGTAGATAATCTCCAAATGACGAGGTAGCACGTGATCCAGCATTGTAACTGGCCACCGTTCCAGCGCTTCTGGTAGGATCGTGTGGTTTGTGTAGGCGAACGTTCCTTTACATACTTTCCAAGCCTGGGACAGATCATGTGTAATGATAAAAGTTTCAGTTTTTTTTGTCAACTCTTGTTTCTCAAGTTAGAGGATTGTTTCCTGCTAAATTTCATTTTCGATAATAAACGTTTTGACACGTTGTTGACACGTTGTTTGCATGTTGTTGACACGTTGTTGACACGTTGTTGACACGTTGTCGACACGTGATATAAAATAAACTAACCGAGTCCCAGCTGAGTCCCTCCTCGTCTATAAGTATTCTCATAAGCTCAGGTACAGCCAGCGAGGGATGAGTGTCATTCAACTGTATCGCTACCTGTCACATGTTACATAATTAATATAATTAACATATTTAACATACTTTTTTTCTGAAATCTTTACCTTATATATTACGATATTTAAATTTAAAGTAAATTTCTTATCTTTAATAATCACCTTCTCAGAAAAATCCAAGTAAAGTTCTTCTTTTGACTCGGGAATAGAAGCTTTGTTAACTTTAAATCTTCTGATAATGTCAACTAGAGTAGCTGCGACCATGAAATACTCCTGCTTCAGTCTCAACTCCTTACCTGCAATTATTAGTAATTAATTAGTAATTAATTGCTTATATACTTGCAATCATTGCATTGGCTAGAATTTCAATTAGGTGAATCTTTGTTTATCAGATAATGATCAAGGTGATTAATTGATAATTACCTGATAATTAATTGATTATTAATTCCGTTATCATATTATAGTTGTCATTGATATCTTATTTTTTTGATATAGCAATTTGCCAGGAAAATATATGTTGGCTTCAAAATCATCAAATTATATTATCATCCTGCAGCTACCGAACCAATGTAATTTGATTCGTAGTGATTTAATGAACTATAATGAACTATAATGAATGGTGTTCTTTTAGATAAAGTTCTAGTTCACAATAATATATTAAATAAAATGTTTAAAAACTAAGAGGAGAACCGTACCCTCGAAGAAGTTGTCGTTAGGATAAAGTACTCTACTTATATTCTCAGCGATGTTCCGGTCCAGGACGGCGTCTATGTAGTTACCGTGGTTAACTGTAATTAGTTATTGATTAGTGAAATTAGATATAAATTAGTTACAAATCAGTGAAATTAGTTATGAATGTTAGACACAATAAAGTGATAAACTTGACATTCAATACAAGAGAATGACTACTCTTGGACGCGAAGAGGAGAACTATTGTAACCAACCAATCAGAGAGCTGTATTTTAGTCACGTGACACAAACTAACCAATCAGAGAACGCTAAGAAGCTTACTTTCTTACTTTAACTGTTATTAAAGTTACATGTATACTGCTTAATCTGTGTATTATTGAGTCGATAAGGATAAAATACGACGAGGAGATTCTCGTGTAATAAATAACAAATCAGTTACATAATACACATAACACAGCTAGTTGCAATAAGTATTATTAGTTAGTCCAGAACAATCCAGCTCGGATTTGCCGAGATGGAACTTTCCGGGATGGGAAGAAAAAGGTTTCTGGAATTTATTATCTAGGGTACCTGATAATCTCTTGATTGTGAGATGGAAGCTTCTAATGTACTAATTGTACACTTATAATATTTAAACTGGATTACATACACTTATAATTTATTATCATAATAAGTTCTAGAACAAACAACTTCTGGAAAGTGCAAAGAACTTCTGGAATAGATAACTTCTGCCAAGAACTGGAACGTTCTTGCCCTACAAAGCTACAATTCGTAGTTACATTCTTGCCTGCTGCGAGAATGCGACCCCTCAAGCTCTCAAGAAGAAAAAACAGTTTCTAGGCTAACTAACCAACCAGAGATCAGTATTCTAGTCACGTGACGTAAACCAACCAATCAGAGATCAGTATTCTCGTCACGTGACGTAAACCAACCAATCAGAGATCAGTATTCTCGTCACGTGACGTAAACCAACCAACCAGAGATCAGTATTCTAGTCACGTGACGTAAACCAACCAACCAGATAGCACTACTCACAGTAAGAAAGATCGAAGTCTTTAGGAGATTTAGCAGACCACAGCCTGAGAGTGTTAACTGTGTTTGTCTTGTAACCAGGTATAGGGGTATCGTAGGGCATCGCTATTACTGTCGTGTAGTCCACCTGTGTGTTAGTAATTAATATGCTAATTAGTAATAAATATGCTAATTATGCAAATTATATTTAATTGTAATATTTGGTATTTAGAACACTAGAACAGCTCTGTCAGTTCCGGTAAGTGCATTACTTAATTCAATCATATAATTAACTTTGATTATTATTAGAATGAAAATTCCCAATTCCCAATGAATAAAGAAAAAGCGAGTGGTTGAACGGTGTTCTGATGTTAAACTCGACTAAATAATGCTATAAATAGACATTGAGACATTAGGCGAGACATGGGACGAGAGAATTGAAAGTAGTATGGGGGGGGGGGGGGGGGGGCAACGCCCCAAAAGGCCCCGATTTCTAGGGCCCTTTTTGGATTTTCGATATGTGTAGGGCCTTTTGGGGCCCTAGAATTAACTTCAATTTCATCAAGTTTGATATATGCTAATAATAATATAAGTGCTTTAATGATATTATCTGACTACTTGCACAGTACTTTTATGTTTATTTGAGTGTATTTACATGGAGATTATGGTCCATAAACACTATCAAATAGTGGTCAGGGTCACAAGGCCCCAAAAGGCCCCAAAAAGCCCCGATTTCTAGGGCCCTTTTTGGATTTCAGTATGTATAGGGCCTTTTGGGGCCCTAGAATTAACTTCAATTTCATCAAGTTTGATATATGCTAAGTGCTTTAATGATATTATCTGACTACTTGCACAGTACTTTTATGTTTATTTGAGTGTATTTACATGGCGATTATGGTCCATAAACACTATCAAATAGTGGTCAGGGTCAAAAGGCCCCAAAAGGCCCCAAAAAGGCTTTTTGGGGCGTTGCCCCCCCCCCCCCCTAGTATCATTAACGTGTATTAATATTAACTTTATGTGTACGTGGTTACTGGCTGAGAGCGGGGAGATCTCGCACATTACATGAAAATTATGCCTTATATTATAAAGTAATATTACTATAACATTGTGATATTTATGTTTACTTGCGGGTGAATGGTAAATAGAGACGGCTTGTTCGCAGAATTATGCTCAATACTAATCGAAGAACTAATGAAAAAGAATTTACGATTTTATTGTTTCAACTAACAAATTAAAATACATAAACTTTATTAAAGTTATCTATGTCAACTTCAAAACAAAGATCAGGTTAAATCTTTAAATAACAACATATATTTTCACATCAGTCCAAATCCTGCACTCAACTTCACCGCATTATCAAAGTTCAATAGTCTCGAGGCCCTGTATCTCTTCCTGTATCTCCAGATCATGTATCGCTTCCAGCGGGAACGCTGGGAATGGCCTCACCAAACCATAGCACTCGGTCGGGATATCCAAATTGTAATCAGTAAAAGCCAGCAAAGCATATGCGTTACAGAACGGTTTCATCTTAGGATTGAGAACTCGATTGTGCATGAGATGATCCACACACATGGGTAACCCATAGTCCCAGGAAAGGGGTCGGCCGTGATACACACGGACTGCTTCCATGTTCTTTACTCGGTAGATGGAGTAAGTGGACCCGTACGTGGTTCCAAAGTAGCCCTTCACAAAGAGGGGAAATGCTGCGTCAGATTCCACGTGCTTATCAGTGAATGTTTGTACCGTGTTTGTTGAACTTTCGTATTTCAGTATTTTATCTCCGGAGAAGAAGTAAGCGGTGTTACCGGACATCATGGTTGCTTTAAGATGTTTTGAGACTAACGGCATGGTCGCTTTCGGGAAACCAGGGTACATTTTCTCCTGGATAAAATCATACTTCCAGTACTGTTCCCCTTTAAAGAAGAACGCTGCAGATATAGTAGCGTTAACGTAAGCAGCGTCAATGTTGTTTTCCAACCCATCCCACCCTTCCGATATGTACTTTGGGTAACCTTCAACCACACCTATCTCACCTAGTTTATCTCTTTCTACCTTGTAGTATATGTCTTTGGTGAAGAAAAAGAGAGTTTTCTTGCGAGGGTGTTGGATTACTGCATCTATTACTCCAATACATGGCGAGTTCATAGCAAGAGGTTTATTATCTTGCGAGCCAACAAATTCATTCTGTTGAAACCTTTGGTACTCCATCGCCTCAAATGTCTCAGCAGTAAACACGGCACCTTTTCCAAGCTTGAATATCTTAGAGATCCCCTCCAAATCATCGTGTTGTAGGCGAATTTCTTTTGTGTAGCCAGGATGATAAGGAGACATTAGGGAGCCTTTCTTGACGGAATGTTTTAACCCCAAAGTATGCCCGAACTCGTGGCTTGCTGTGTATCTTAGGTTAACCCCTCTGTCGGATAAACGGGTGAATTCCTCGTCATTGTCGAAGTGGATTTCTCCACTACGAGGGTAGAAAGCATGTGCAAGGACCCCCATAGGCCCGTCAAATGGATATTTATCACCATGGTCCTTTTCCAGGAACTGTATCCTTATATCTGCTATCTTTTTGTCTTTTACCTCGTAGAGAAAGAGTTCTACGCTTTGAGTCCACACTTCAAAAGCCTGGACTATCTCATTTTGAGTGTGTTTGTCTAGCGTGTCACTGATGCTCTCTATGTGAAAAGACAGCTTGTTTTTCAGCCATTTTTCATCAGAAATCTCGTATCTTTTGTTGAATGCAACAAAGTCTTCCGGTTTAATATTAAACAGAGAGGTCTTCCATCCGCCTTTCAGCCCGTTGGTACCCTGTATTGTTTCCAGTCCGAGTTGAGCAAGTGCTCCTGGATCGTAGGGATCAATGTCTGGAACCCCACACCGTGGGATTTTCATCTGTGCTAGGACTTCTTCATCAACATTTCCTGTCGGATACAAAGAATTCATGGACTGGAACAGCGTCAAAGCTCCTTCAAGATCTTCAGTACTCATCATAGTCAGATCATCCTGATGTGATCCCTCATCTTTTACTTTAGATTTTAGACTGGCGTAACCATCAAGGTACCCAAAATCATCCAAGTAGTTGAGAACAGTCCTGCTATTCTCCAACTCCTGAAGTATGAGACTTCTAGGAAACACAACCACCCCACCAGGTCGTGTGTGCAAGCTACCAGGTCTCCGTCTGGTGTGAACACCACCAGGTCTCAACCAGGTCTCCGTTATATCCTCGTCTTCACCGGGTCTCCGTTTAGCGTGCTTCTTCGACTTCAAATCATCCATACTTCTCTCTTCAAACGTGACATCTTGTACGTATTTAGAAAGGAAACCAAGCCGTCCTAAGTGGTCCAGTGTATCACTATCAGAGAGGTATTTAAGGTGGCTAGTGGTCGTGTAGCGGATCAGACAGAACAGTACAATAGGCAACATTATCTATGAGACATGTTGGAGACAATGTTGGAAAAATGGTAGTCTAACTGTTTAACTGCTGTGTTTGTTTTTGGTTTAGGGGGTATTTTTGATGGTAGTGCTAGTATCGTATATCGTGAAAATAGACAGTTAAACAGAAAGGCAGGCTAAACACCACGTACGATCTTACTCTAAAACAGTAAACAATTAACATCGGATCCCTTTTGATCAATCAATAATAACTAATTACTAATTATTTTTAATTAATTATTCATTAATTATTAATCAATTATTAGTAAATTATTAGATAATTACCCATTCCACTTGATCCCCCGTTCTCTGAGTGTGCCCGTAGAACTTAACAGGTATTGTGTATTCAGGTCTAGCCTTCTCCCAGGGGTTACCGTACGTTAACCAACTGTCTGGTTTCTCTATCTGGGGAGGGGGTGTCAATAAGTTACTTATTACTAATTGTTACTAATTACCGTACGTTAACCAACTGTCTGGTTTCTCTATCTGGGGAGGGGGATGTTACTAATTACTAACTAATTATTAATATTATAATTACTATAATACATATCATGGTAATTAACTTGTTAGTAATTACTGAATCTCTAAATGATAAATTACTTTTTACTGGTTATTAATATATGGTTACTAATCTTATCCTATCATTAAACGTAGTTAACTAATGATTTACATCACGTGATATGACGTCACACTACATGATATGACGTCACACCACGTGACATGACGTCACAGCTCGTAACTTACCTGGTTACAGTTGACGATGGCTTGGTTGAAGAGCCCATGTTCGTACCGTATACCGTACCCATACGCAGGGTAACCGAGCGTAGCCAGCGAGTCCAGGAAACACGCTGATAAAGGTGAGTAGATTACAAAAAATAATATTGGACACGATTTACTGGATCAGAATTTTTAATTTAACTCAATTATCTAAAGTAATAAAACTAATTTCAATGATTCAACTAACGATTTTCAAGGAGGCAAAGTTAAGAAATGTTCAAAATTCAGCTGTTTACTAAGGTCACATTATTAAAATAAATCCCAAAACGTCACAATACCTTCAAATGGCTACCTTTTTTTTAACTCCTTCGTTCGTAAAATAATATGTGAATATTATAATATATTACATATCATTATATATTAGATATCTGAGTTACAGGTTTCTTATTATACTGATCACAGGATTCCTCCCACTTTACGTTTTCCACATCTGTTCAAATCTCACCCGCACATTGCACAACTTTCCCTCTTCACACCCAAACCCTCTTAATAAAAAATTGAGACAAAAAGGGAAAAAAACATGAGACATTTACGTGATTAATTCCAACCTGGAAAAACATCTGGACCTTTATTGGTTGAATATACTCGATAGTACAAAGAAGCCGTGTCTTCTGAGCCAAATCTGAACCGGTCTATCTTGTCAAAGGTTTTTGACTGATATGTTGTCATCGCAAGTGGCCTGATTACATTGAACATGTATTGTTGACAGCAAGATCCCCTTTTTTAAAGTCCACACCAGCTCTCCAGAGGTCATTTCTGTATAACCATTCACCTTGATCGTTCGCGTTCCTTGGTGCTTGATTGTGAAATCCAAAATTGCGTTGCCAGCCCTTGGGGTGTAATTTATTTCAATTGTCTGAATATTTTCTTCGTTACACTCAGTTGAACAGAACTCAATCACGAGGTGTCTAACACCAGGAGAGTTCAGTTGCAGTTCAGTCTTCACTTCAACAGTACTCTTAGCTGAATTGAGACTAATAATAGAGCTGTTATTGACAGGTTTCCAGCCACTTCCACCACCTCTAGGTTCAGAGAGCACCAGCATTGCTAGTAGCACGAGCAGGAGAATCTTCATGTTCTATTCCAGAAACTAACAAACAAAATATAGCACGAAGCACAATGCGATCTCTTTTTTAAAGCCATCAGGAAATCTTCATCTCTTCAACGAACTTATCCCATCTGCTCTACCCCCAATCAGACTGCTCAAACCTGAGCTGAAGTTTCATTGGTTCTTAGCAGGAACACTGAACAGGTGTGCCAATTTTCGGACCTAGTGCGTACTTACCGATCGCGATCCTGAGTCCTTACTGCTTAAAAACTACTAATTCTTGGTCATTTTCGTTCTAATCACCATTTTACAACCTTTACTATGCTCCAAATTCTCAAACATTCTAGTCGTAATCGACCCACAGCTGTTCCTTTAAGATCATCTTAGAAAATCGTTTCTGGTTATTGTCTCAAACATTGCATAGGTGACAAGTATTTAAAGAACACCAAAACTACTAATATTGTATTGTAGTTACTACATTGTAAATTCTATGGTACGTCAGCGATCCTGATCAGACCACATGACATGAACAAAAAGAAACTTGAATTTCGGAAGGTTTATTACATCTATTCTAAGATTCTAGTAGAAATTCATTTTATAAGCTTTGATTTACCCCAAGGAATATCAGTGTTTTAATTCCTTGTTTCGGTCGTGACGCTAAATTCTCGCAGCTAATGTTGGTGGAGCAGCTGTAGGTGGTTAACAACCTGACTTTTTAAGATGAAACTCATTAAAATCTGCAAACTAGGAATGGTAATTAGGAGGACCGAGAATCAGTACAATTATTTACGCACTGACTTAAACAAGGATAGAAAGACAGCTGCGGAGAGCTTATTAAACTGTAATTTAGAAATAGCACAGGGTATTCTGATTAAGATTAAACTACAGGCAGCTGGGACTATTATTTCGTCTCCTAGTGGCTGGTAATAAGACGGTCGCGATAAGTTTCGTGCTATATTTTGTTTGTTAGTTTCTGGAATAGAACATGAAGATTCTCCTGCTCGTGCTACTAGCAATGCTGGTGCTCTCTGAACCTAGAGGTGGTGGAAGTGGCTGGAAACCTGTCAATAACAGCTCTATTATTAGTCTCAATTCAGCTAAGAGTACTGTTGAAGTGAAGACTGAACTGCAACTGAACTCTCCTGGTGTTAGACACCTTGTAATTGAGTTCTGTTCAACTAAGTGTAACGGAGAAAACATTTAGAGAATTGAAATAAATTACACCCCAAGGGCCAGGGCTGGCAACGCAATTTTGGATTTCACAATCAAGTACCAAGGAACGATCAAGCAGAATGGTTACACAGAAATGACCTCTGGAGAGCTGGAGTGGACTTTCAAAAAGGGGAGCTTGCCGTCAACAATACATGTTCAATGTAATCAGGCCACTTGCGATGACAACATATCAGTCAACATCCTTCATAAGTTACACCGGTTCAGATTTAGCTCAGAAGACACGGCTTCTTTGTATTATCGAGTATACTCAACTGATAATGGCCCGGATGTTTTTCCAGGTGAGAATTGTTAAATAAATTGACCTGTATCATCAAATATGTTCATTGCGGAGGATTGAGTGACGAGAGGGCAAGTTATATGGCAGAAAGGAAACAAAATATTGGGGATGAGTTACAACAAATTTAGTATTATCATGTACAGTGTATTATAATGTATAGTGAAACCTTTAACTCAGATATCTGATCCCAAATGGTTCTGAGAGGTTAAACTCTCAGAACCAGGTAGAAACCTAATTCCTAAACTTGTGTGCCTCAAATAAAATACATATCTAATTAATAAAGTATTTGTCCAGCTTATAAAGTAAGCACTAACCAGCTAGCCGGCCTAGACCACCATTACCAAGACCAGCATCAGGTTCCTCGCTCTCCAACTCCTCAATGTCAAGTCCTAGCTGGTACAGCGCCTCGTCACACGCACCCTGCAGCGTGACGTCACGTTAGTGAGTGTGTCACGTGGTATGAAGTCACGTCACGTGGTGTGACGTCACGGTGTGGCATTACATACCACTAATAGTTGTGTAGTCCTTTTAAAAGGACCCACCACAAGAATATTCACTAAAAGAATAAAAAGTAAATGACAATTTTACATATTACATATAATTAGTAGTATTACTATAGTAAAATACCTCGAGCATGAGAAGAAAAGAAAATCATGTATGTACTATATTATTTATACATACTATACCTCGAGCATGAGATTTATCATAGTGTTACTAAGAGTCCGCCCCATCATGAATTCCAGAGAGAGATAATACACTCTCTTTACACTCTGTTTGTGGTAACCTGCAGTGTGACGTCATTATATACCACATTACACAGTTACACGTGACGTCATACCACGTGACGTCATACCATCATGTGACTAAATGACAAGTAACGTAATATCACGTGAGATAACTTATATCATATAATAATGTTCAATTCAAGACATCCTTTTAAAAAAATACCATTTTTTCACATTTAACAAGAAGCGGCTTCTTGTTTAATGTGAAAAAAGGGTATTTTTTGAAGAAGCCTCGAAAAAGCTTTGTAACAAATCTTGTTAAATAAAACATAATAAATATGGTTGATATAATTGATACACTAATTGTTTGTTTACTTTGTTGAGTTCTGATCCATTTTCCAATCAGTTTGTCCATGATAGTGTTTGCCAGAGCAAAGTAGAAATCCTTGTTGGTCGCAACATTGCGGTCTTTTGCGCATGTGTAGTGCAAGTGCCTGGTTAATTGATAAATTAATTATCAAATCGATTAATCAACTATGGTAAAAATCAAGTTAATTAAGCAAATAAGTTTAGCAACTAAGTGTAATATTAAAGGAGAACCTGTTGAAGTTATTGATGACTTCCTTTACACTGTCAATCTCAGGAAGTCCCCTTAAAGAGATCTGTTTCCTCCGCAAGAAATCGCTTTCCTCTGACGTCATACTGTGTGATATGATGACGTCATACTGTGTTATATGATGACGTCATACTGTGTGCTATGATGACGTCATACTGTGTGATATGATGACGTCATACTGTGTTATATGATGACGTCATACTGTGTGATATGATGACGTCATACTGTGTGATATGATGACGTCATACTGTGTGATATGATGACGTCATACTGTGTGATATGATGACGTCATACTGTGTGATATGATGACGTCATACTGTGTGATATGATGACGTCATACTGTGTGATATGATGACGTCATACTGTGTGATATGATGACGTCATACTGTGTGATATGATGACGTCATACTGTGTGATATGATGACGTCATACTGTGTGATATGAGTGTTTGAAATTCAACAGAACATCGAATTTGAAGTTTTTAGATTAATAAATGGAATAAGAAGACAATAAGTTAGGTAATTTGCATGATCTCCGGGTATAAAATTGATACAAGTCAGCCGTTTTCTAAGTTTGCAAATATTGTGTTATTATATTCTTTCTTTCTTTTAACATTTAAACAACCTCGATATCTAACTCTAATAATAAAACCTTCATTTTGAAAAATAACAGTTTCGATTGAATGAAAACTGAAACAGCAGACAGAAAAATTCTGCAACAGAGTCATTGACTGAAATTAGATTATAACTCGCACAAGGCAGTCATATTTTTGCATAATAAAACCATAATTTAATGTGCATAATATTCACATTAGATACGCATATTATATTTAGAAGTGCACTTAACAAACCGGTTAGAATATATAAGATGGTGATAAGACACAAAATTCGACAAGATAACAGAAAATCGTGACTAAATTACTGCAACTTATCGTTATATATAAAAGTATTGCTTAACTTAGCCACAATTTTATGCATTTCATAATATTATTACTTTATTACATGCGAATATTAAAACGATTCAAAAGCACATACTCAAAGTCACAGTGTGGGCCGGGCCAAAAATAGCTCAACATTGAGATGGTATTGTGCTTAACAGGCATTGCATAAGGCCATAAGATGTGAGTCTAAACTAGTTTAGAGTACCAGGTGACAAAGTTTGAGATTGGGTTGTTAAGCTATTTAAGGCCCGGAATATGGCCACCCCTTTGTATATTATTCAGTACAATGTTATCATGATAGTACCATGTTACATGTATCATGTACCATGTTATCATGACTGGGGCACAATGATTTCGCTCTACTGCTTGGTAGGCTTTTATCTCAAAAAAAGAGCACAAAAAATTTATAAAATTTCAAAACAAAATATATAGAATTAAATAGTCGTATTGTGAAAAATTCACAAAAGATCTGAAGTCAATGTTGAAGGTCACCCAACTACCCAATAACACTGAGGAGAAGTTGAAACATTTTAAAAAGCTACATCTCAGCACTGAGCCTTGATTTTCAAGTTTCTATTTTCTAATGATCCATAATATAATATGGTGGCTAGAACACATTTCAAACCCTTATCTCAACACACTCCCAACACTCAGTGTGAGTTGTTCTGACCCAGCTCAAGAGTAAATCTGTCTGCGAGAATATGCTCCAATACAAGCGAGAACCCCGAGCGCTCCTGTGATATCATGAGATTAAAATTAATACTTGTAATAATACTACCGTGTATTGAAGTTTAATCATAGAATTAATTCGACACTTAAGGGTTTCAAAAATTGTGTTACCGAACTTTTAGGTAAATTGGTTGCGCAAGGATTTAAGTTAGCTGCTTTGCGCAACAAGTTTGTCAAGTTTTATAAATCAAGATTAAATATTTGGGGTAAATATGGTAGTGATATTTATGATGAATTTATTGAAATGTTTCAATCACCTAATATTATTTTGTAATTTGTATCGACATATATCGTTTTTCAGTTATATAAGTTACCTAATATCTATTAATTATTCTAGTATTTGTGATTAATTTGTATTGATTTATTATTTGTGACTTATAAATTAGTAACCATTATTTTACCGTCTAAAAAAATTTTTTGTCAAAAATTAATTTTATGAAGGAGTAAGTTGACAAAAGATGCGCATTCGTATATTCATTTATTGCATGTTTAATTTGTTTTTTGTGTTTAATTTACGATTATTTGCATTTGAGATTCTGCGATTAAATTTATTTTGTTGATTGTAATGTTGTGATATTGCATAATTTATTGTAAATGTAATATATGTTTCAGAAAATTATGTAATGTAACGCGATGGAGGTTCTTTAAGCGGGCAATTCCAGTCCAAACCCTGGAAACATGACATAAAGGATTTGTTTTACTTGTTGCATGAAAAGCACTAATAGTATAGTACTAGGGATGTAAATTCAAAGACAAGATCAACCATCTGGATTCTGGTATTGTCAACTTAGAATTTCATTACACTCACTAGTAACTCAGGTTTAATGAGTTAGTTGGCTCTGTTATCTTAGTAAGGGTATGGATCCGGTGGTAAACATTGTGGGAGTGCAAGTTTGAGCACTGTTTTTTTGCAGTCCCCACCAACTTATTACTATATTAGGAATATACAAATTAAATTTACATATTATGAACATACTGACCAAGAACCAAGCCAAGGAGTAGAGCTAGTCCATCTCCAGTATCGAATGCTGCAACAGGTACTATATTCAAACTAAACACTGCTACCCAGAGGAAAATATCTGCAAACTCCATATCTCTGCTAGAAATATTAGGATCGATAAACAGTGCTTATATAATCTGGATACTTAGAAAGTATTCTTATTTATAATACCTTCCGGGAATTATATCCACTAAAAGTCTCGGACACTGAGAGCTGATAATTTGCCGATATGTCCCGCAAGGGAAGCGAAAGTATTATCAGCATAGACCTCAGACTGGCTGGCGGCAAGTTGTAAAACAAATAACACTGGCGTTCTATATATTAGACACTATATGGTATCATGCGCACGTATCGGATTACACCCCTTCCTAATCGGAACCGGAAATTATTATAATACATAATACCTCCGGTTCTTCGGGCCGCAAATTCCCTCCAGCAAGCTGTCGGGAATTATCAAGCGGAAACCGAAGAGCCGAAGGCATTATTATATTATAATACCTTCGGGGAATTATATCCACTAAAACTCGGGGACACCGAGAGCTGATAATTTGCAGATATATCCCGCAAGGGAAGCGAAGGTATTATTAGCATAGACTCAGACTAGCTGGCGGCAAGTTTCAAAACAAATAACACTGGCGTTCTATATTTACGTCTTCAGTTTACAAATCAGTGAAACACAAACATACTATGCGGGGGGACTACAGACCCCCTCAAAGTCCTTTACAACGTTACTGCCAGGTTACATAGCACTCAAATTATTTGTTATATAGTAGTGTTGAAAGTATTAAAACTTATTATTATTATTATTAGGTATCATGCGCACGTATCACATTACACCCCTCCCAATTGGAACCGGAATGTATTATAAAATACAATACCTCCGCTACTTCGCGCTTAGCACTCAGTAGCGGAGGTATTATAGTATTATAAATTGTTAGTTTTTCTTTATAGGAAATGCTGTCCTTGTAGCATACCAACTATTATCAATTCTCAGAACCGTACGGTTTACTACAGTATGAAAAATCTTTTTTGACTGATAATGAGATTTTCATAGCCTGAAATAAAAGATGGCATGTTCCGGTGCAAAAGAGTGGAGCTTATTGAGGAGCACTCGTCACCACAAATCCCACTAACGACTTTATTAGGAATATGCAAACATAGAAATATGCATATTGTGCAAGCTTTTGACATCGACGCAAACAAATGAAGACGATGAACAATGGTTTAATGAGGAGTAACCTATCTATAAATCATTATTCTTATAATTGGTAAACAATATAGATTTACAATAACATTGATATTTGAATGATATAATAGAATAATGAGTTGTTACCTAATGAGCCGGTTCTCTCACAATATTATTAACACTAATAAGTCGTGTTATCGCATGACTGAGTTCGCAGATAATTGAAGTATGTTTAGTGGAACAATGCCGTTGGCATGTAAAATTGCACCAGTCACTCCAATTCTTAAAACTGGTGACCCTAATGATCCAAATAACTACCGGCCAATATCCATACTCCCCCTACTTGGAAAATGCATAGAATATTTTGTTAACCAACAGCTTACAGAGTATGTTGAAACCAATAAACTGCTTACCAACCATCAGTATGGATTTAGAAAAGATCATTCCACCACTTTTCTAATGCTTAATCTATTTGATAAAATATTTACGACTAAGGAATCACAGAAGAAACCTGCAATTGTATTCTTAGATATTAAAAAGGCCTTTGACACAGTAAGCCATAATATTTTATTAAAAAAACTTAAGTATTATGGAGTTGATGGCTTTGTCATAAAGTGGTTCAAAAGCTACCTTGGGGACAGAAAGCAGCACACCAAAATACGTGGTAATGTAAGCACATCACTCCCTGTTAAAACAGGTGTGCCACAGGGTAGCATATTAGGACCAATTCTATTTAGTTTATTCATAAATGATCTCAGTAGAAATTGCACACAATCTACTGTTTACTTATTTGCAGATGACAGTGCACTATATTTTGATAACATTTCCCGAGGCATATATGAGAATGTAATTAAGGATATGAAAATTGTGTACGAATGGCTTAGAATCAACAAGCTGAGGCTAAATGCTGCAAAATCTTCATTCATTGTATTTGATAGATCACCTAATCTGGACACGTTGTCCATCCCTCTGGATTTGGAAAAAGAATGCCTATTTATAGAAGAAACTAAATCTCAAAAATATTTAGGTCTCATGATAGACAATTTATTGAACTTTCAAGACCATATTGATTATGTGAAATCAAAAATTGCTAAAAGAATAGGGGCATTATACAGGTCGAAAAATCTTCTTCCACTGAAATATAGAAAAATGTTTGTAAATGCTCTTATGCTCCCCCAATTTGACTACCTGGATATAATATGGTGTAGGGCTGCCAAAACCAAACTTAATTCTCTTGATATATTATACAAGAAAGTAGCAAAAATTGCTCTGGATGTTCATTGGCAGGAACCATCAGTAAATGTATATCGAAATATGAAGTGGTTACCCTTACACTTAAGAAGACAACTCCATCTATCAACGTATATGTATAAAATTCTTAATGAGGCTGCACCATCATCATTCACAGATAAATTTTCTTATGTATCCGGAGGATCACGTGATGCTGAGAGGTGCAACCTTTATATTCACAAATCCAGAACACACAAAACCTTTACATATTTAGGTGCAAAATGTTGGAATACAATTCCAGAGAACATAAGGACTATAGAATGTAGTGTAAAATTCTCACAATGTGTGAAATCTAAATTTATGTCAGATGTAATTCAAGGAGTCTCATCCTATGAAATAAACAATAGTTTCGACTATTTCTACACTCTAGCTATGTGACAACTGAAACAAATTTTATGGTGCTGGAGTTTTTGTCGGGTGGAAAGGCCCCCTGCGTTATATATGACCTATTTCCAGAAGTATAGAACTTTAAACATCTCCTTTACTCGTTCCCATTTGTTATCATTGCCAATCTATTATTGTTCTATACTTCTCTGTATATAACTGTAAATAACATTACTAAAGTAATCCCAAAGTGGGCATCTATGTAATCTTAATTGTTACCTTCATGCTCACAGTTCACTGTTAAATCATATCTTATTTTATCACTCATTAATTTATTACTCATTATGTTTTACATACTATATCCTTATGTCCCTAGAAGGGTGTTCTGCTAACAGTTTTCGACTGACTTGAATGTCCTGCACAGCAGATTGAAGCTTCTTAAATTATTTTTTATTCTTATTGTATTGCTGTGTAAATTTGATTCTAATTCTAATTCTAATTCTAATGTTTTAGATCTGTACTTGCATGAGGAGATGAAGCAGTCAAAAATTACATGCTTATTATTAAGGGGGCCGGGGGGGGGGTCTTCATCAAAATTCTCTCGAAATTGATTTTATAGTTGTTTCTGATAGAGGGGAGTGATATCTATTAGCTGCTTTTGGTCCCATGGAAAAATATTGTTCCTAGCCAAAATTATCGCCAGTCAAAGGTCAGCGCTTATGTGTAATTGTATTGCGCGAGCGATTTTCAATCGTGCGCCCTGAAAATCGAGTCTAAAAATCTATCTTCTCCTACATTTTTTGAGCAATCACCCTGAAACTTTCAGGATATGTTCTAGGGATCATTTAGAAGATATCTGTCGAGCCGAATTTTGAGATAGGCCTTAGAAGATTTTTTATTCAATTTTGAAAATCTTGGACCTGGAAAAATCGTAAAAAAATGAGGTCCAAGATTTTCAAAATTGAATAAAAAATCTTCTAAGGCCTATCTCAAAATTCGGCTCGACAGATATCTTTTAAATGACCTATAGAACATATCCTGAAAGTTTCAGGGTGATTGCTCAAAAAATGTAGGAGAAGATAGATTTTTAGACTCGATTTTCAGGGCGCACGATTGAAAATCGCTCGCGCAATACAATTACACATAAGCGCTGACCTTTGACTGGCGATAATTTTGGCTAGGAACAATATTTTTCCATGGGACCAAAAGCAGCTGATAGATATCACTCCCCTCTATCAGAAACAACTATAAAATCAATTTCGAGAGAATTTTGATGAAGACCCCCCCCCCCCCCCCCCCCCCCCGGCCCCCTTAATATATTAATAAGAAAGACAAATACCCGAACTCAGTCTAAAACTAGGTAACATAGTCGGTTTGACTCACTGCGATAAAGATGGACCGAGTCTGAATTTGATAGAGGAAACAAACTTCTTCCCAGGAGTACAAAAGGCCGCAATGATGTTGTGGCAGAGCTGAATAAGGTTATTAAGGATATGTGTAGCAAAGATTCTTGTTTTAATTACATTAGCACCCATAATTTATTTAACTATAATAGAAGAGGATTCAGGAAAGAATTTTATTTTGCCAGACCATCTGCAAAAATATCTGATAACTGTCACCTCAATACAAGCGGTGTTATTCGACTTGCTAAATTTCTGAAGTATTGGGCCCATAAGCAAGTTTGAATTTTCAGAAAGATTGTTAACATTTATTTCATCTAGATAAGGGATAATTACACATTGTTCCTCATGTTTATTGAAGTTTTAGAAAGTTTTGTTATTATCTCATACAAATTTGCCAGTTCTGCAATTTATCTTATTCTGACAAGTTTATAGCAGCATAAATTGGAAAAATTTTCATGCTCTCACAGCAGTTCTTGCATTAACCCGTGCATTAGTAAAATCACAGTTTCATACCATGCCAAAAAGCTTGCAGTGGGACATTGCAACATGCAGGGAGGACTAACAGGTATGCCAAAATGTCTTGAAATCCAAGATCTAATCTGGAAAGAGAAATTAGATGTTTTATGCCTGAATGAAACAAATCTTAAGTCGGATATTGACTCAGCCAGTCTAAACCTACCCAAGAATTTTACTTTTATCCGCAAAGACCGTCCTAACGACAACGGTCATGGGGGATGTGGCATTCTCATCAGTGAGCACATAAAGTTTAAAATGATTCAACTAAACTTAGTTTTGCAATATGACCAAATCGAGGCTATTTGGATCCATCTTACTGATTGCAATATTTTCATCTGCTGTTTCTACAGATCTGAGTTGTTTAGTCCTCTTGACAAATTTTTAGATTATATGACAGACTGCATGATGAGTATAGGAAGTAAGAATGTTATTTGGCTGGGTGATGTAAATGTAGACCAAAACAACATCAGCAGTATGAACTATAAGAAATTAGACATTACAATGAAAATGTTTGGAATGGTACAGGTAGTTCAGGATATTACCCGCATTGCTAAACTAGGAAACAGAATCACAAAGACCACAATCGATGTTGTCATAACAAACACTTACTCCAAGTTTCTTGACTGCAAAGTCCTTGATGATTGTATAGGAGATCATCAGGTCGTAAAGTTCATTGTCGATTTCAATGTGCATAAGGCCTCAAAATTCAAGAAGTTACTAATAAGAGATCACAGCAAAATGAATGTTACTGCTCTTAAAGAATTTTTGGAAACTTGTGATTATAGACCAATAATAGATTCAACTAGTCTGAATGATGCAGTTGATGGTTTAAACGAACATATTGATCACTACTATGATCACTTCTGTCCAATTAAACAAATTAAGTGCCATAGTGATTACATCCATAAGCCATCTCCAGAATTTTTAGAAAGTAAGAAATTGAAAGGGAAACTTTACCGTAAATTTTTAACACACAACAAGAACAGACGTATACATCCAAATGGTAATATACACTGTAATAAATGTGACTCATTATGGATGGCATATAAA